CTTACAAATAAAAGTAAAAAAGCAAAACTATGTTATCAGATGAACCAGGCGCATGCTAGTTTAAGGTAAGTTCTTTTGTCTAGCAGGATTTAGGAAAGGTGCCTCCCGTTGGCAAAATTTATTATAGGATCGAAGTGATAAGATAATGATTAATATGTAATAACGAGATGTCATCGTTAAGCAGTTATTGAACCCCCGACTAAAATTTCTCTGGAAGGAGGCCCAACAACAGGATATTGAGGTTTTTTTTTTTGTGCAAAAAAAAAAAAGAAATAGAGAATGAAATGGGAAAGAAATTTTCCAAATTAAACATCGCCTATTATTTGATATACTTTTTTGTTGAGCCTAAAGTATGAAAAAAGAAAGAGTTTTCCAAATCATCTACACAAATAAAGAATGAACAATTCCCTTAGAATATAAACATGACTGAACGGTTCAATTTGATCAATACCGAGATGACTGTCCAAATCCCTTTTTATCGTCCTCTTTTGTTTTTATTTTATCTCACATGCATATATATATATACACATGTGTATATGCAGACACATGGTATTGGTGCTTGACTTTTACCTCCAGATCTGTGTTTGATCGGCTTCGTTTATTTCAAATTTGTTTCACATGCATGCATGACTACTCTTTACTATGTTGATATATTTTCTTTTTCTTGTTTTTAATTTTGTCCTAAAACTTTTGATTCAGTGAAAGATCACCGGCCAAGGTCATTAATTTCCTCACTTTAATTCTTTTTCCTTTTTTGTTTGAAGGTGCCAATTAATTGTTTTCTTTCTTTCTTATTGCTCGTTTTCATATTATAGCAAATTCCTTGATCAGAAGGCAATCACAACTTTTTGCCATTTTTCGCTTGATATTGGCGTTTAAATTGTCTCACATTATATAAAAATATCTTAATAAATTAAAATTACACCGTTTAAATCATTTAAAAATATATAAATTTTTATGTGAAAAAAATATATGATTATTCACCTATACTTGAGATATTAAAACAATCCAACTTAATTACTCGTCTTAAGAGGTAAGACTGATAATATATTCCTTTTACTAACAATAGAAAAAAGATAAAATATTGTAAACCCTTGTATGTGAATTTAGTGCAATGACGTGTAGAGAAAAAGAAAGTGACCTTAATTAATTATGCAGTACCAATAATACATCATCTAAAAGATGTCCTACCTAATTGTTTGTTGAACCATGCACCATTCCAAGCTCATAAGAGATTTCAATTTAACGCGATGAAGAATTATTTATGTAATTAATATTATATATAATTAAAGTTCAAAAGAAATTGACACGTACAATTAACAACATACATAAGCTTACCAACAAGAAAACAATGGCAGGTTTTTGATTTGGGTTAATGATTATGACAACATATTTAAAAGTTTATAAGTGTAGCTTTCAATTGATATTTAGACACTAATCACGTCTTCTTTTATTAACATTGTACATGGGAAAAAATTGATCCACCTTAACTTTACATGATGTAAAACTAACGGTGATCGCAGCAGATTTTGATTAACGTTTTTTTTTTTTAAATGAGTGAGTGAGTGATATTTAATCTCTTTATTAAAGGATATTACAAAAGTGTTAATTATTTAAATGTAGGAAAGCGTGGTTTGAACTTTTGAAACGTTGAAAGTGAATGCAAATGCAACGCAGGGTCCCACGAATAGCTCTCCCCGATCTTGGTTGACCTGCCAAATAGCCCCAATTGCTAAAATTAGGCCCTTATCATTATCTCATGAGCTTTAGATTATTATCTTCATTTTTTAACACAATAATAAATAGTGAAACTTTTGTGAAATTTGTTTTTCTTTTTTATTTTCATTTTTCTTAATTTTATAAAATACAAATATTTTTGGAACTAAAAATAGTGGTAAGGAAAATAGGAAGATGTTCAAGCTTTTTTTTTGTGGGGGGGTGTTATTCTCACCTACGCATCTTATTTTAAAATTTTAACTAAATATTTCTAATTTTATACATCTTTTTTTTTTAATGTAGATGATATGAAATAAAACACTAATAGGTTAGGCCAACAAGTGTCTAGTTTAACGAGTAGGGGGCGATTGCCTATTAACTAGTTAATATTGCCTGTATTAATTTCGGGATTCGTTCCCCTTCAAGTAAGATGAATAATTTAAAACCTGCGGGCAAAAAATACTCGCTGTGTGCTATTCATAAGGCGCAGGTTCAAGATTTTTTTTAAAAAAAATATTTATAAGTAATATTTTTTATTATAAGTTTTTCTTTTATACTCCTTTAAATGTTGAAGTGAGAAAAATATATTATTAAAATATGTATAATTAATAAAAGTAAGTTTAAGAACATAATTTTTAGAAAGAGTTAATAAATTTTAATTTAAAGTTTCCTTTCATTATAATAAAATATATCAGAAGTGACTTGTAAATAAAATTATATAAATAATTGACTTTTTTCATTAATTATGTGTGTATTAATATTCTCAAAATTTAGGGGACATGTTGGTAAATCTCTAAAATCTCAATAGGATTGGTTAAACAACAAACTAATGCAATTTTTAAATGGATAAGAGCCTGGGAGTCGTGACAAAGTTAAAAACTTAATGAGAGGGTATAAGTGACATAACTCAAATTTTAGGAAAGTTTTGTAATTTAGGTAAAAATATTTATAACCTTTTAATTTATTTCCTTATTCTTTTGCGCACTAATTCTATCATTCAAGGAATGTTTTGATGACCGGGAAAAACTATCTCCACCCACAGGACGACTCAAGAACTGGATTCCCCACTCCCACCCATCATGGACTCAATAAGGACACGTGGAACCCATAATCCGATTGAATTCCACCTTCCAAACACTCGTCTTTTATCCCATCTTAATCACATTCCATCACACATTTTACACACACAAATTTAGTTGAACTGGATTCTCACCATCAAGGTCAAAACATGCTTTTGAATTTAAAAAATACATATAAAGATATTTACAATTTAGTTATTAGTAATATTCTCTATATCAATACTAAAATTTAAATCCATAATCTTATAAATTATGTGTCAAATTTTTTATCATGGGACCAATATTTGTTGGCACTTTCCATTTAGCAGATTCTAACACAACATAGTGTTATTTGTTTATATGCTTCCAAATTTGGGATGTGGTCTCCCCCCAACCTCACTTAGTTGACCCAATTATGTTGAACTTTGAACCTCCATAGCACGAAACTCCCAACCACTGCCCACGTATAAAACAACAACGATCTTATTTATACTTATTTAAAAGTAACTGAATTTACCTAAATACACAGAATTATATATTTATTTTTAACGAGTTTACACTTTCTCAACGTTTCCATGTAAATGTTCAAGATAATAATATAATTACGTGCCAAACAACTTCACCTTTGATCAATTTGGGCTTTTCTCTATTGCATTATTTTTCCCACTACAATTCTGGATTGTTCACTTCAGAATAAATACAATGGGATTAGAGAAATATTTAAATAGACTAGATACACCATGTTATTTATAGCTTATCTAATAAAAAAATTGTCATTTAAATAATATTTAATATAAATTAATTCTGATATGAATGATAGTGGAAAGAGAACAGGCAAAAAATTAAATATGCATTGTTTTATAAAAATAAAATCAATTAAAAAATGTCATATAAGATTTTATTTATATTACTTTGAACATTTTAATTGGACATATTATAAATAACGTGATACACTCAATCTATTTAATATTTTTTATAGGATTATAGGAATAGGAAGCTCTAACTGATAAATTTGAAATCAGAAAATGGCAAATCATTCTGAATCAAGTACAGTTTAGTTCATGCGGTACACTAACAAATTAATTTTATTAATCATCGATGAATATTGTTATTACTTCTCACAGATTTTTATACTTAGATATAGATCGTAATCATCAAATTAGATTTAGTTACACGGACCTTATATAGGGAAATGAGTATGGATAACAACAGCAGCAACAATGACGACAATAACAAATTTTATTTACTATTTAAGGTTGATTACATAAACTGCACAATATCATAATATTCTATCAATCATAAATTTTTTGAATGATGCGGAGTCCGTACAATAATTTCTCATATTACTAACCAAAATGATTCATTCAAAAACTTCTTCGAAATTCTTTTTGATCCAATTAAAATGGCAAGCAATTTGCATATATCTATGGTTCATTGGATATAAAAAATATAAAGAACAGAATCAAAAATAAATAAATAAATATATTACTTCCTTAATTTAAAATTACAGGACATTTTTGTGTGCGAGAGAGAGACATCATATGGAAAAATATATGTTATTTTGATATTTTTCTACCAGCAATTGATGTGATTTTTCTAAAAAAATTATAATAAGTCAAAAATTTTATATTCATCTACAAGTTACTAGCAGAGAAAGAAATATTATATAATTTTTAACTATATTAACAACTGTTTCCTTTCCTTGACATCTTATAATTTTCAATAGATGAAGTATATTCTCTCTGTTTTTTTTATAGAAAAACAATTACTTTTCATTTATATTTTTGTATAAACAAAATTATTTATTTTACTAAATATCTATTATTTATTTTTTAAATCACCACTCCTAATTTATTTTAATAAAAATAATTAATATATTCTTATATTGATTAATACAGAATATTTTAAACTAATTTTTTATATTTAAATATAATTATTATAATTAATTAATTTTTTTAAATTATGTTATATAATTTTTTTATATATATAAATATCTATAAAAGAAGGAAGTACGCAAAACATTCCACCACCACCATTCGCGCTCACCTTCCTTAATTTTATTGCACCATTATCAGGTCTGAAATTCAATCTGAAAATAGATTTAAAAAAAAAAAGAAAATTAATTAAAGAGTCAACCTGAGTAACCGTGGACTCTTACCAGTCACCTAAACCCATCCCACTGTTTCGTTCAGAACTCTTTGTATATATAAATACACGCAGCTTCACCTCTCTTCTCCCTCAACAAGTCCACCGGAACGTCTTTTCTCGATTCTCAGGTATCCCAAAACGAGCCATGGTTTTCACGTCGCCGGAATCCCCGAAGCGCCACGCCAACGCCTTCCTCGAGGGGGTGTCGGCTGTCATGGCGCTGTTAGCCAGGCGAGCGAACCGGCTGAAGCAGAAGATGAAGACGCCGGCGAGCGACGCCGACTGGGCCATCGAGTTGAGGTCATCGCCGAAGAAGTCGCCCCTGGCCAAGCCCAAGAAGCTTCTGAGCAGCATAAGCAACAAAGCGCTGCCCTTTGGTCACAACAAGAAGAAGCTGAAAGGAGGCGATCACGGGGTAGAATCTAGCGAGGAGGAGTGGGGGGACGGCGGGGTGTGGCAGAAGGCGATTCTGATGGGTGACAAATGTCAGCCGTTGGATTTTTCCGGCGTAATTTACTACGACAGTAACGGGAAGCAGATGAACGAGATCCCTCTCAGGTCGCCACGCGCCAGTCCCTTGCCTGGTTATCTCAATTTGCATCGGGAACATAGGCCCTGAGTATAGGCGCACACACTTGCCACCACCGGAGCGTGAGGATTCTCGCGGGAGAGGGCGGAAACGTTCCCGTAGAAGCAATCTGAGCCGTCCGAGAAATCTACGACAGAGTAAAATTACGTGTCTATCACCTCAAAACCTGCTGATCCCTGCCTTCCTTCTCAGCCTGTGCTGTGTACCACTCCGATCGCGACATGTGGCAGGTAAAGGACACGTGGCTTCTGATAAGCCGTGGTTTTCTTGAACGGACAAGATTTCTTCTGACGATTGTCGTTGCTCCCTTACCAAAGGGCACACTTTCACGCGCCGATATTAGGAAGGAAATTTCGCGCTAGAGTTTTATGGCACGGGAGTTCATGTTCCCACGTGTCGTTATTTTTTCTTTCTTCTTCTTTAATTTTCGAATATTAGTAATACCATCCGTTGTTTGCTCGTTTTATCAGTGGAAAATTTGCATAGAGTATGTGAATGTGAGAAACTGGTTAGTTTGTTCAGTGGTTAAATCTCATGTGGTAGGCTTAAGTGTGAAAACATAACAGAAGATCTCCCTCTTTTTTTACCGGAACTCTTTATTGGGGTTTTTATCGTGTATTTAAATATTGTTTTCCCGGAAAAAAAATTTTAATGAAATCTTCCTAATAATTAATGATATGCTAATAAATTTAATTATTTTCCATTTTTTATTATCATCCTCTAATGGTTGAACAAATGAGGTGAATGTAATTAATGAATTTACTAATACCGAGAGAGAAACTTGGTTGTGTGCATAATGAATTATTGTGATTGTCACTAATTATTTTGGTGAATCCTCTAGTTTAATTAGAACGCCCATAAAACGCCAATTAAATGATTAACTAAATAAAAATAATAAAATATACAATTTTTCAAATATATAACAGTGCTCGAGCTTTTGCGCGCGCGCGCATGCATGTTTCCTATATCATATGTTGAGAATGCGTGGCCACTACTAGTGGCATGCTGACTCTCACACTACACTTAAGTAATGACATGGCGCAGATTGACATGCGTGATTATTTGAATTTAAAAACTAAACTGAAGAGATGCGTGATTAATTTTTACATGATTTTTTTATACGAGAATCACACCAAAATATTCTATCCTTTATTTGACTGTGACAAGAGTGTGTATATGATTCCTCATATAAAATACCTATGAAAAATTTTACTGTGGTGAATTACCAAGGAATGAAATTTAAAAACAATTTATTGTAACACCATGGTGGTGGATGGTATAGAAGTTTTCAATGGACCGATGCGATAAATTAAAGTTCGATTCAAAATGTATAAGAGTTCAGATTTTTTTAAATAGGCGTGAGCTTTGATTTCTATATGCATCTGCATCTAAAAGGTATATAAAAATTCATATTTTTTACGCTAACATCATGCGCAAGATTGTCAGAAATTGTGCCTTATATTTATATGACTACAACGATGAATTTTTTTATTTTTACGGTCATAACTTGTTGACCAAGCCAGGCCATAATTATATATAAACCAAGTTAGGGTTTTAGCTTAACATTTGTCACTTTGATGATTAATGAAAATTGAGGGATTCGAGTAATAATTTTTAACTTCTTTAGAAATTTTATACATTCAATTTTCTATCCATTATTAATAAATTAAAGATGGTGAATTCATTGCAATTTTTTTTATAATATCAAATTTTTTACTTGTCTCGTAACATATAGCATATGATTAGTCATATGTTGTCGTTATTTTTTTTTATTGCATACATGTGTTTTTTATTGCAAGCATTTTTTAAGACATAATTGAGCATTAAACGTGATTATCTTTTCTAGTCAGTAAGGATTTAAATATCAATTTCAGCCACTGCTATTTTCAATAGTTCAGTACTTCTTAAAATAAACAAAATTTCGTCAATCCAAATAAAGGCATTTATTTAATGAATTGAAATGCATAAGAATTTGCATGTAAAGATTATTTGCGAAAGGTAAAATATGAAATATTTGTTTGCTTAGCTGGTAAATGACTGTATTAACTCATAATTCGTAGTCTAAAGTTCAAGTTTTAAGTATATAGTTATATTAAATACTTATTGAAATAGTTTTGCCGTCAATGTGGTTTTACCCGGACTAGTCAATGACTAATGGGTAATTGTGTGAAAAAAAATATTTGTTTACTTATTAGTGGTGTTGCTTTTTTACCAGTAGTTGATTAAGTCCAATACAATGTCGATTCTTTGTCACTTCAGATTTCAGAAACCATAGACGTTAGTCGAAGTTTGGTTCCTGCTACGTTGAATCGCCATTTTTTAACATCAAAATTTAAAAGAGCAACACACACGGGCCCGCATTTGGAAAATCAGCAAAAAATAATCAATTAAATAGAAAATAAAATCGGTGTATATCAAGACTTTGTGCTCTGTGTGTGTGTGTGTGTGTATACACTTATATCTAAAAAATATGACACACCATACATGAGTCAAGCTTGGAAGCAGTAAAATGAGTTCTTTGGCAAGACAGAATTAATAATTCTACTCTCAAATAAATGAATGATGTTGAATCGACTTGAATGACGGGCGAACATAAATAAAAATGATGTTAGAATGTAGAAATAAAAATTATTATTGGATTTGATTTTGAAAGCAGGGGCTTTTTTTTTTTTGGCCAAACAAAGAAAGTAGGGGCTACTTAATTAAAAGGTCTTCTTATCTTCTATATCTACTATTTTTTCAAGTTATTCTTATAATTGCGCGCAATCAATAAAAGCAATCTTCAATGTAAGTGATTGAGTGATATTTTAAAAACTATTAATACACGTTTTCTTATAATTATATAACTAATTCAATCAATTTTTTAATTTTAGTGAATTAACTATCCAATTCATACATTTAGAAATGGAAAAAAAATATATTCCACTGGCAAATGAGATCAGGCCTCGACACACACACAAAATTGGTTGATCAAGTACAATATCCATTATATGTATAATGGCAAGAACATTTGGAATTCAATTGGAAAATTGATAATTCGTTTCTGGAAATTATTTTTTAGTACTCTAATTTATTTCTTAAAGCGTTAGATGCAGAAATTAAATTACTTTTTCTGGATTTTTCTAATTTGTTTGTAGCTTTTTTCGTCAAAAGCACACATGGATGAATTGCGACCTCCCTGAGCTCTTGTAGGTCACAAGCTCCGCTTGTCACTGCATGCATCACTGAAAATTAATCAATAGGAGACCATCTACATCAATGTCACAACGTAAGTAACAAAAAAATTATTTAAATTCTTTTTTTCCCTCTGATATAACTATTTAATCAGATCAATTTTGAATATTGTTGGGCCAAATTTTGAAACAATTATCCTAAAAGCGTTTTCTGCATTTATGTGAACTATAACGTAATATAACTATTTGATTGGGTCAATTTTTAGCTCATGCTGGTCTTATTTAAAATTTTTGTAATCAGCCCAAATTGATGTGAATAATAAGAATTATTGTTACTTAAACAAGCAGCTGTGAATTTCAATATTAATTTTTGTGTATATAATAATTTAATTGGAAGATATCTACATTTATTATGAATATGTGTATTATTGAATCTTGAGAGAAATAAAACTCAGTTGTTAACGAAACAATATGCTTTCGTTTGATCCTTCGTAAACTTGTACGTCTTGTTGATTAAATCTTTCATCATAAATAATAACATTGTCAAACGATTATATCATTAAAAATATATAACCCTGCGTCACTTCTTGAGATTTTAAAGCCTGCACAACTCGCTCATATATACCCTTGTCTTTTTCCTTTTTTTGTTTAATATTTGAACAAGTTTCTGAAAGTAACAATTATCAATTACTTATTCCCAGGAAATTTATGATTACGCAGTGATGATGTACTCTTTATCTTCCCCCCCTCATCCTCCAAATCTATCATCATCATATTTTCCCACTCTTGCTTGCTGAATGCCTCAACAAATTCCACCCTAAAAAACAATACAGTTATTAATTCATTAAACTTCCAAAAGAATAAACTCAGTATCAGAACAAGTATTATTGTATTAAACAGCAAAACTGAGCACGTATATTATGCATAATCATCAAGAATTAACGTAACACACAAGAATAAAAAATATATTAAAGAAGTAGTATCCTAAATCATATTGGGTTGAAGGTAATAAGATAGAATAATGGGATGAATATATGCATATGCAATTTACAGCATGAGAGATAGAAATCAAAGGGTTGACTTGGACGAAGTGGGTTGACTATTGGACATTGTATAAATAACAAAGCGTGAGAATAGTCTGTGCCTCATGACCGTTTCAACTTTCAATTCACAAGACCTTTGAACAATTGAAGAGTCAGGAAGTCGTATAAATCTTCACTCAACTCTAATTTCTTCCTCGAGGGGCAATTGAACTTTTCTATGGTCAACGGACTATGCATTATTTTCTCGCTAGTCAGAGAACTTCCAGATTGAGCCTCTCAATTTATTCATATACTGAAGCATGAGAATAATTTAATTTTTAATTCGAAAGAGGTTATGTGAGAGAACATCGATCATTGTTATTTGTTACCAGTGACTTATTAAAGATAGATTTTGATGTCACGAGTCGCTTAATACAACAAATGAATGAAATGATGAATGGCAATGAATATGCAGTGGGTGGAGTGAATCAATTAATCCAAGTTACACGGCAAACTATCCAAATTTTTTTTAATTACTTAGTTAATAGAGATAATCCTATTTGAGATATATTTGAATACTAAATATGAGTTTTCTAACCTTGATTCATTACAATGTGAGGAATTAATCCCTTTCGTTATATCTAACCTTCTTGGTATTCAAAAAATGTTTTTAAATCCTCCAAACTTGCATAGAGGTCCAGATACTGCTACTTACTATAAATTTTATATTTTATATAAAAAAGCATTTAACATTTAATATTGAACTAGGTGGATTAATTTTGTACATTACAAATTAAAAAAATTTAATCACCTTATTCATGTATAACTTACCAACAGTATACTAGAGATTACACTACCTCCAGGTCTGTTTAAAAGAAACAACTTATAGTTGAATTTCAATCGTGTACATGTGTATTCCTATTGGAAGTAACTTGTTTAGAATGTTAAAAGTGAACATTTCTCTCTATAGAAATTTGAACATTAATTTATCATGTTCGAGAGACTAACTCATTTCATTAAGCCAAATTTCCGTCTGTCAGAATAGTATCCTATTAATGGCATCATCCTTTGTATTATGCATGCCCATGAATTTTCCTTTAGGTTCTACAAGGCTCACTACAAAGCATCACCATTCACCAGTCCCTTTTTTTTGCTTTTTTTTTTGGAAGAAGTGGGCCGGTCCAAACCTCCAAACCAGCCCATAATCCGAAAAGGTAGTGTGAGACATTTTATTCCTTGGATGCTGTATGCTCGTTACACCGAATCAGGCTCGTCGATTTGGATACTTTTGTATATATATAAAAAAATTGGATGCTTTATTTTCTAACTCACTCTGAAATACTGATAAAAAATAATAAATATAATCCCGGCTTCTAAATCAAGTAATTAGCACGCAAAACCAAAAACTCAAGCACCCGGTGCGGCATCCTTCACCTTGCCCTGCAAAAAGCCTCCATACTCCCAAGCACACTCCTTCACGTGGCTCGCCGTGTCATAGATTCGGCTTCGCGCGTAGTCGACCCGGTCCGAACCGGGCGGGTTGAGTCCCCTGAAGTACCGGTACGTCCACGACAAGGCCGCCAGCATGACGACAGCGAATCCGGCGACGGCCAGGAATCCGACGACAAAGAGGAAGAGGATGGCAGCGGCGGGGACCCAAATGGGACTGGATAAGACGATCAATGGCGTGAGGAAGACGAGAGTGAGAGTGATTCCGGCAACGGTTAGACCGGCAACGAAGAGGGAGAGGGCGGCGATAACAAAAAAGGCGATGACGCTAAAGAACTGAGAAGGGGTGGGTGCATGTTTAAGGACTTGACGTGCAAATGAGTCGGAGGAGGGTTCGGGTTTAGAGTCTGGGACTTTCTGCGTATTGGCTGAGATGGGTTGCGGGTCAGCCATGGCAGAGAGGTTGAAGGTTTGAGAGAGAGAGAGAGAGAGAGAGAGAGAGAGAGAGAGAAGGGAATTTGTAGGAGTAGAGGAAATTTCTATTTTTGGGACGAAGATTTGGTCACCTTAGAGGAGGCGATGACGGCAGATCACTGTAAGAGTCTCGGACTTTTTCTTTCGCAACAAATTCTTTGGTGCAAGGATCACCTGTTTTATGGGGTCATGCATCGTGATTTTTGCTCCTTGGTCAAAGGCTTTCATATAAATGTAAATATATATATATATATATATATATCACACTACAAAATATAAATTACCCTTACATATAAATATATATAAGAATTGTGATGCTAATATATCATGACTTAAGATTTGAGTTCAAATCCGCTGCTAATTTGAGTGTCTTATTGGTAGAAGATTTGCAAATATTTCGTTAGGCTTGGAAGCTTGCACAGTAAACTCCCGCAGTCCATTTCATAGAAAACTTTTTAGAAAAAGACATTTCTTAGTATAATTATTAAAGAAACAATAGCTTCGTCAGTGTGGCTAGAAGCATGGATGCATTGATCCTCGTAAACCCCTCAAAATGGCTTTATTTAATAATTACTTAGCTCAATAAAACTTGTCTAATTGGAGTTATTTTAAAATAAAACTAATATGAATCTTACACATTTCTTTTGACCTTGTATGAAATTTTACATTATCTATATATATCACATAAACATGAACTATTACTTATTTCGCACTAACAAATCAAATAAATAACAAGTTTTACCATATTACAATTTAATTGAAAAAAGAGAATTTTTGAAAAGGTAAAAAACGGTTTTAATCTCAAACTCTGCTCAATTTGGGTCAAGATCCCTACAAATGGTATATTGGATAGCATGGGTGTTTTTTTTTTTTTTTTTTTGCCCTGAAGGATAGCATGGGTGCATGGCACGAAGAAAAATTGTAAAAGCTACTTGGTATAGTAATAATACAGTTTTCTGGACTGACCACCAAAAAAATACATTTCTCTCCAAGATCTTAAACTGTTAATTTTTATTCTTAAAAAATTAAACTAAATTTTTTTAAGAATCAAGACATTAATTATTGAATTAGTTATTATCCGATTAATAAATGATGCTAGTAGATTTCATGATGCCAAGAAGGGCAATCTCTTGAACAAGTTGAAGCATCATTTACCTTTTCCATAGTGATCTTTTCGCCCAAGCGTCATCAGCCCTCAAACAGACAAACACAATAGAGTCCCGATTTATTACTCTCTGCAGTGGCCTTATGTATAGAGCTTTGCAGCGTCAAGATTCTGGTTCCATGTGAACCCACGAGGACCAGCTCAAACATAACGTAACTAGAGATGCTACCATATGTATTATAGCAAATCTCAAATGTAAATAAAATAAAATAAAGATAAGATATGACCACTCGGTTTTATAGAACAGCAATCGCGAATCACAAGCATCAAGGTGCTACCTAGTGCTTCGTTTGTTGGGAAGGGCATGGCCTAACAAAAAAGGTGAAAAATGATTGAAAATGGGATGACAAACAATTAAAAATGCCATGTAAGCATAACTTGAACATGGCTGGGCGGGAACTAAATGTTGAAGAGGTAGTTCACCACCGCCTGAACATCTGGCCTAACCTATCTCTGCCCTGTATCGTGTCCTGAGATACGAGTTTGTTTTGTTCTTCTCATGGATGGAGACATGAAAAGTTTTTTCACCGAACCGATTGGGTCCTCCACCTGAACACAGTGTAGGAAACTACATGCTTCAAGAAGACGAATACGTTAACCAAAAAACGAAAAACTTTTAGGCTACTTCAATATTGGTTGACATGTCATGCAATAAAGTTGAGAGTCGAGGTAATAAAATAATAAAATCTATCGAACTTGCATTTTCTCTTTGCTTTCTACCAAGAGCATTGACATTATTTCTTTCTCTTCTCACTTTCAGCGGCTATGCAAAAGAGTATTAGGGTGACAATAACTTCTTTCTCTTTTCACTTTCAGCAACAATGCACAGGATGTTAGGCTGACAATTAATCATAGGTTCTTGTCACTTCAAATAAACCAAAGGTAGAGCGATGCAATGCAATCTTATCCTTGATGATAGCATCCGCCAATTTATTTAGTTACAATTTAAAGATTTTTGTAGAGTAAGACTTGCAAATACCTTAATAATGGAAGTTGATGAGAGTGATCGAAGTGGTGAAGAATTCGAATGATCTTTCTGGCGAAGTAAGGCAGATAATGTCTGTTTCCATCCAGGTTCCTCATCATTCATCGATGCAATCCAAGGGCAGAAGTGTCTGTGCTGCCTGATTGGATCAAACTCCAAGGCTCTATCAGACGGTCTCATGTCTTTTCCTGGAAAGGAAAGGAAAGGTGATTCTGAAACTTTTTACCTATCTAACAAGTCAGCTGATGGCGACAGGTGAATTGTATATTGTCATGCTTAAACATAGCCAAAATGATGCAACTGCCAATTAGAATATTGTCAATAGGAGGCAGGGGTTTTAGCCATAGATGAAGAAAGTTTACACTTAACTGAAAAAGGTAGAGAGCTACAAACGCTAAACAGAAGAAGCATATGAACTGCAATCCATGATTAAGTTTAATTAAAAGGTAATGATAAGAATTCAAGGAACTATCATACCCGAATTACAAGTAACATCTTTACAGTTTACAGGATTCTCTACTCCACTTCTGACCCGATAATTCTCAAGATTACCAAGTTGTATAGCCGGAATCTGTTGTGCAGCAAAAAGGGCTCTACCTTCAGTCAAATCTTTCTGCATAGCAATACAGTTAATGTAGTCTTCCAACAAAGATTGCATTTCAGATGCAAGACTAGCCAAAATCAAGCAATGAAATATCCACGTGATGGGCTTAGTGGGCTCGTTAAGCAAGCTTATAAGGCATCATTTCTGGCAATAATAAATAAGTTACACCACTACTTCACAAATCACATTGTTCCTTTGTGCCATCAGAATTGCAATTATGAGACAGAATAATTAATAGGCTGACAAACTATCTATACTTGTATTATAATTTACAGTAAATTTACAACCAAAGAAACTCTAACCTGGGAACTATTAGGACCTACTGCTGCTGAACTGTTCAATCCATCAGATTCTAGATGTATAGGAACCATATCCTTAGAACTTGAAGAGAGCCCTTCATTCTGGGTGCCCACGATAGCATCATCTCCATTTGAATTACTAATACTAGTTTGAGAAGCAGTTTCAAGTTTTGAAATTTCCATTGTTTCAGATGACAGGGGAACAAGTTGTCTGGTGGAAGAATCGACTGTACAATCTGTTTTCTCCTGAAGCCGGATCCTCTTCTGTGAGTCAGACTGAATACTATCCCCATCAACAGAAGCATGATCGCTGAAATCAGAATCATCAGAAAGCCGAGCCCTTAAATTCTGACCAATAACAGGAAAAGATACTGTTGCTTTAAAATTTTGTTTTGTTGGAGAAGGACCCCCAGCAATTGTCATATTTAGATTTGAACTATATTGGAATGAAGTTGCAACATCTGACAAGGTACTAGTAACACCTTGCCTAGTTCCAAGATCATGTTTATCATGTTTACTGGATGAATTCCCAATATCATTTCCAACAATTTCCGCATGTCCCACTAATCTGAATAACTCAACAGGCCGGTGAATAGTACAAAATGCCCACAAACCAACCGTGGCCCCACAGAGGCAGCAATCTAAAACCACAGAATTGGGATTCATTTGTTCCCCAATAGAACCATTTGAATTTGCATCTGTTTCCAAACTTTCATCCGCGTTTGCAGAATGTACAATGAGGTTATTATTATCCGTAACTATATTTTTGATGGATCGGTCTGCTACATCCTTGCAGTCAACTTGGTAAGGTAGAGAACGAAGTGTCCAACCGCATAAACTTATAAGCTTCTGAGCCTGCAAAAGTTTTTTTTTTTTTCCCAAAAAAAAAAACACTCTCCATCAGGGGGAAAGGGGGATGCTAAGATGTATTTCAGATGTTTTTGTGAGGGTAAATCTGATGCTGAAAATAAATTAATTGAAATTACATAGATTCATCATATCATATGCATCATTGAGTGAATAAAAATGAGGGTAAGCCACTATCTATGCAAGAGTATAAACTGTTAGTTTTTATAGAGTATACATATATAACATCAGCAGACTCTACAGTTCATTCACGATGACTCACGGTCACAGCACTTATTTCATTTGCAAATGAAAATTAATCAAGCCAGAAAGGTCACTATCAGCAAACACCAACCAATGGAAGTGTTTTTTAAAGCAAGAAGTCACACAGCATCTCCTAAGAGTGATATTGAAGTGCTGTAAACCTATAATTAAACAGAGTATGGACAAATTCTAGCCCATAAGGAAGTGTCAAGTCAATCAAGCAATATGAAAATACAGTTACTGGATCATACGTCAGTAGTGGAAGGAACCTTAACCTACATAGAGCAAATAAAAACTTAAAAATTTCTAGCATACAGTTATACCAGGTAATATAATTTCAGTTCACGCTGGCTGCTAAGATTTTCTATTTCAGAATTGCTGGCAGATCCATTTCCACTTTCTAGCATTGAAGAATCTCCAAGGAAGTCTTCTAGTAGTGGGCTTTTCATGAAATCTACTGCTGATTGTGAAATTTGAGGAAGAGCTGATAGTTGCAAGAGAGCAGAACAACGTTCTCTATAATTATTGACTAACACTTGAGGAGGTGTAGGTGGAAATCTTGTCAGTATTTCATCACAGATATTGCCCCTCCATGGACAAAGTAATTTATGTCCACTATCCAGCTTTAAACTAAAAACCAAGGCTGCCTTCTCCACTGAATATAACAAAGTGTATGTAAAAATCTGTAAACCAGATATTGTCACAAAACGGTTAAAGATAGAGAAATGAGAACAGTGGCAAACCCTGTTGCTGATTCCAAGATGCTGGTGTGTGGAAAAGGAGCCGTGCTCCACATGCTTCACAGGCTATGGTATCAATATCTACACTGATCCAACCTCTTCTAGCACAATTTACAGCACTCACTACCTGCAAACATCAGAAGCCAAAAGATCAGCCACAATAATTTTTCGAAGGGAAGGAGGGGAACAGGAGGTCTGCTGTAAACCAAATGTCACAAATTATACACATAAATGATTCTTGAAATAGGGAAATAAGGAAACATCAGGTTTTCTTTAATGAATAAAGATTATGCCATAAGGACACAGAAGTAAAAATACATACATACATACATACATATATAGAACTCTGTCAAATATAATTTGACAACGTTTAGTCACAGATATCCACAGCTGCAAACTTTCAAATCCTTTCCTGCCACTCAAAAGTATATTAGCAGGGGAAGATCAATTATGGGTTTACTGAATTTTCGCATCAGCAATAATAGTGATTAACACTTGAAAGTTTTCTTTGTTACTCAAATGCTATCAAACTCAACCCTGCTCTAACTCATATGAGGAAAATGAAGGAGTTACCATGAAATTCAAAGTACATGGGTAAATAGGTCATATTTTTACCCTGTTCCAAGTTTAACATACATTTCACTGCTAATAAATAGTCATAGCAAAAAAAAATCATCTGTAATTTTGTCAAAATAAAAGTGAGAAACACATATTATATTAAAAGCATTATATCATAATTCTGGTGTCAAAATGTACGTATGTATTAGAATTTGAGTCTAGTTCAAAATTTTGGTCTTACGGAGTTATTTAGCAGTCATAGTATCAAACGAAATAATAGACATTTTTGGAAATAGCAAACTAAGCATTAGATCACAAGTTTATAGTCCTGATGCTGAAATGGACATATGTAGTGGGATTAAAATTTTAAACAACAGAACAAGAACATATTTTCTAAGAAGGTAAGGAAAAACATAAAGAGAGGGAGAAGGAGGGAAATACTGCAAAAGTTAACTGTGGAAGGCAATATACAACCTTTGGTTTAGCAAACCACGATATCGATTTAAATGTGGCTAATCTTTTAATAAAGTCACCACGATCCCATGGTCTGCAGCATGAACATCGAGTGGCTCCAGCTGCAGCTAATGAGGGATGCTGTCCCTCAGCAACATCCCCTTTCATATTCGATTCCCATGCCCCTAATGCAGTTGACTCGTATGAACGTTTTTTACTTCCAGACAGAAGTTCTCCTGATGTACTGCGAACAGAAAAACACATAACTACCTCCCAATTCCTAAAAGATCTTGGCAAAAATATTTAACGCATCAAACTTCTAAGCTAAGTCATTGAGCTATGGTTTAGAAACTATAATAAAAGTGTCTACAAAGTTTAAGCCAGCTAACTAAGACTATATTTGCTGCTTTAAACATTGTTCAGGAAAAGGAAAAAGTCAAACATTTCGAAAGCTAATTGAAATTATTTTGGACCCTGTTTATAATGTTCTAGATGTCTCAAACAATTCGTGGTCCACTGTTCTGCATAAGAGTCACCAGAGCACCCGAGCATAAGGGTAAAAACTAAAAGGAAAGAGCGGTATGACTCGATAATTGCTTTCAGGAGATCAGAACGTTCCTGTATTTTCATGGCTAAAGAACGGAAAAAACGCTAGGCTGATTACTACCGATAATTATTATAGATGGAAACAAACAGAAGGAAAAGCAGAGATATGGGAGAGAACCTGTAAGTGGGAGAATGGAATCCGGATTTGGGAGCATGGAAGAGCTTGTCCATGATGGAATGGAACCTCTTCTCAGAATCCTGCGCCATGTTTGTTCTGTATTCGATGAATTCAAAAGCAGATTTCACAGTTCGATTGCAAGAAAAGGAGCCGAGAGAGAATAAATGAAGCTTGCGCTCATATTCTGTACCTTTGTCTCCTCGCTCATGAATTAACGTCGTTCCTTCGTCATTCGTCCATTACCTCTTCAATCCTAGTAGTAGCACCAGGACGGCCCATATGAAAAATTTTAAGGCCCATTTCCTGGTTCCTGGGGATACATTCCGCCGTACTACCAAATTGCTGCAATTGGGCAGGTGATGTAAAGGAGAGAAAAGTGTAAACACCTCACAAGTTACGGCTAAGGTGAGACACATTCTCTCATATCTTATTTATAAAATAAAAAAAGAATAATTTTTTTTATTTAAAATAATACTCCCTATATCTTAATTTATAAAATATTTTCAGACAAATCTCACATATTAATAAATTTAATTAAATATCTTTAACAATCTTATCTTTTTAAAATAAAAAATATAAATTTTTAAAAATATTTATCATTTAATATATTGAAAAGAAAAGGGAGGGAGATTACTTATAGAGGGAAAATGATAATATTAGAATAAACTTATTTAATAAAACATTAATTTTTTTAAAATATTTTATATTTTGAAACGCTGAATCTTTTTAAATGTGTTTTATAATTTGGGACGGAAGGAGTATCATTTTTTGTTATAGTTTTCTCATTTTACCCTCCATTAAATATTCGTGAGAGAAAGTATGCTATAAAATAGTGTATAGTTAATAAGAATAAAGTTAAAAAACTTATTAAGTTTTTTAAATAAAGTTAATGAATATTAAAGTTTTTCTTAATTCTAACAAAATATGTTAAAAATGATTTATAATTAGGATTATGTAAATACATAAGAGTTGGGATTTGAATGCCAACCATTTATTTAAGTTTTTACTATTTACATCACCTTTAAACTGATAAAAAAATATTTTGAAATTAATTCTACAAAGTTAAGAATTCATGAACTTCAGTAGGTTTCTGTTTCTATGGAAGAGAGAAAAAATTATATGTTCTCGACTATAGGAGATCTAGAATTATTTCTTTTCTATTCTCATTTTTTACTTTTTAAAATTATTTTATAATATAATTTTTAAAATTATTTTTCAAAACAAGATAAAATGAAATATGTTTGGTTATGTCAATTAAAAACAGTTTTAAAATAAAAAAAATGAATTGATAACTGTGGTCATTGACAGTTAATGACAATGATTAATAACAAAAACTGATTAAGGTAATTATAATTTTTAATAATCAAATGTAATGTATTTTTAAAATAAGAAAAATAAAATAAAAATAACTTGAAGTTATTTCTATTTTTTTTTGTTTTTAAAATCAAATGAAAACAATTAAATAAAAAAATTATCCAAACAAGTTTTAAAGTTTTTCTATGTTGAAAATTAAAGATTAATTTTTGAAAACAAGAAACAAATAGGCCCTTGATCTTCCTCTTTCTTCCCCACAATACAAGCTTGTGTGAACTAATAGAGCTAAGGTTAAAAAATGACATTTTTATAACTAAGCGTGAGACTTATGCATCAAATGGGATTTGAGAAATGAAATGTACTGGGGATGACTTAATAACTGTGGTAAAGCTAAGATTCTAGGTTAGAGAAGCAATAATAGAGTTAGGACCCTTGGTATAAGGAAGACCTTTATATTTCTTTTAAATATATTATTTCTCTCTCTTTATTTATTAATTCAATTTTTAATTATTAACTTACAAGTGCAGTGAGCTAACGAAAGACATTCAATTAATTTACTTTTGAGTCTTGAGTCTTAGTTTATCATTGTTTTTTTCTAATTAGCTCCTAGGTAGTATTTAGGACGAGGATGACATGAGTTTAGTTTAGTCAAATTAATTTTTTTTATTTTTTAAAGGATTAATAAATAGTATTAGTATTTAAGTATAGTGAAATTGTGGACTAATATTCATGAGGCTTTAAGTTAAAAAATTGAATAAATTTAGGCTAAAAAATAAGATTAAAATGAGTTTAAAGTTTAAAATATGAAAATAAAGGAATAAAATTATAATAAATAGAGGGTGTAAATTGTAAAATATAAAAATTTATACCCCAAACAATCATTTTTCCCAAGTGATGCCCCAAGCGGCTCCGGCCACTGCTGAATAATATGGCTTGCTGGATATATTTTATATCATATATATGTATATATAATTTTAAATTTTACTTAAAAGTGGTGAAATAGAAATGGTCCTAAGCATCTTTTTACGGGTGCCTAAGTTTTTTTTTTTGCCAATTCTAATAGTAACTAAGTTGGGCCGCATGTAATGAGGCCTGCTAACGACGATGAGCCAAACTGCTTCAATACTCGTTCCCTCGGCCCAAAAAAAATAAAAAAACAGTTGTGCATGCTGTTCTACGGTAGTAGCTGGAAATGCCAATTTCCTGTTTGTTTTTAAACTGGATACAACCCCTCCGGCCAAAATTAAAAATAACAAAACCGATACAACCCTGTGAGATACAGGCGGCAATGTATAGTAATTGTAAACTGATATCTAAAAGGCTAAAACTGAAAATGCAAGAAGTTACTCCATGTAATGAAATATATCTCCACGCTGTGCTTGTATTTGAGTTGATGAAATGAAATTCCGGAATATTTCTTCACATTCAGCGGTATCTATTTTTAATTCTCATATTATATATTATATTATATTAAATAAAAGATGTTAAAACAGCCTAAAACTAATGACATTTGAAAGAGACTCTTTAACAAATCATGGAAACTTGTAGTGGGACACTCACCATAAATTTAGTCTAAGAATTTAAATATATAAAGCTCTGTCAAGTCATAAAATTTGTATTAAATAATTCAATTTGATTTTTTTTAATTTGTTGTTGGCCTGATTTTTTTTGCCAAAAATAGCCAATTTTATTAATCATCAAAAAAATTAATTACACACACTAATAAATGAAGTAAAAAAATGTCAAAAAAATTCTAAAATGCAAACTAACACATAATTAAACTAAAAAAAATAAAAATTCAGGAAAAAAAAAAGCAAAGTCAAAGAAAACCAGAAAAGTTAAAAAAACAAATTCAACCAGTTCGAGTTAAAAATCATTACAAGTCACCGTGACCGGCCCTTGACCCCCTTCAAGAAACAACAAACGAGCCAAATGGAGGTGACAGTAACACACCAAAAGAATCATCCTTTCAGCACTAACCACAAGAAAGTCCGCAGCTCTATTGCAAGCTCGACAGTTCTTTATAGAGGAGAGTAAGCTTCTTATGTCCTGGATAATGCCCAAGCACTTCCGGTCACAGCTTAACCAAGAAAGATCTCTGCATCGGGCGTTTTGTTAGTTGGCTTACCGAATCTTGCGCATCACATTGTCTGATATTTTCTTGAAAAACTCTTTCATTTGCCAAGTTAAAATATTCATTGAAGGAGAAATCACACGCCCTTGTAAGTGACCAGATTGACAATACTGTGGGAATCTACTTCAATACCAAGTATCCAGTCCGATGGTATTTATACATAAAGTTATCGTTCAATTTGTTATCGAGTTGTTTTCCTTCAAATATGCCCCCCGATGTTCACGAGGCAATGAATCAAGCAGTAAGAGACAGTAGAGAGAGAGAGAGAGAGAGAGAGAGAGAGATAAGGGTTGGGAATGGAGGGTGGAAGGGAAGGAAGAAGGTGACGGCGAAAAAGAGGGCCTTCGGTAGTGGGAGATTGAAAGCGACTGCAACGTTGAGCAGCAGGCCTGCTGTAATTTCTCAGTGTAGTAGTGTAGTGTAGTCCACTGACTTTTCTTCAATTCATGGCATCTTCCTGAGGGTGGTCCATCTCCATTCTTTCTAGCCAACACTCCAAAACCCTCATTTAATTCCCCTCCTTCCTCCACTGTGGTCATCCCCCTCATCACATGCATGTGACCCTCTCTGCCTCTCCTTCAACTTTTTATGTTCATATCCTCACATTGATACACGTTTCTCCCCAACCTTTCCCCATTTTTATGTTTTTCTTTTGTTCTTCACAATGAAACCATTCTGTTATATGCTTGGTAATATGATTATCTTATCTCAATGCTTACCCTTATTATTCAAACATGACTATGTGACTCGACAAACAATTGCATATCTCTTCTGTTTGGACTATTTGACATGCCGGTGATATAACCAAATATGGGTTCTTCTTTTAGTGTTATCCTGGTTAGAAAGAGCTGAAATGATAATTTGTCTAGTTACTATTGATTTTGCCAGTACAATGTGAATGTCTAACTGAGATGCAGAAGTGTTTCTACTAAATGCTTCAATACCCTTGTTCTTTTCTGACCTCAACGCCTAACTGTATAGTTAGTTTGCAGAAATAATTGAGCTGCAGTTATGTGGCCGCTGTTAAGGTGATAGAGGTTTGAAATGGTACATTAATATTAAAATTCAAAAGATTGCAGTCAGTGGGTGGAGGCCTTATAGCTTTCGTCCCTAGCATTTTATTTGTGCATGTGAATATCCAAAGACAAATTATATGGTCCCCCTAACTCCAACCTTACTTCACTGTACCTTCTTCCAAACCTGCATCTTGCATCTGAATAATCCACTATAATATTGATTAGTAGTTTAATGATGATAATGACTTATCTAGGCTAATAAGAGCTACCTAACTCATCACGTTTTCTTTCTATTTGTTTAATGTTCGGTCCAAAGATTATTCACTCAACCATGTAGCAATTCTTACATTGATATTTTGACTTAGAAAAGTAATGAATTATTGATTTTTCTTTGTGGCATCACTTGCATTTCATGAATGCGAGAAACTATTCTGTGTGGCCTGCTTTTAGTAAGAAGCTGGCATTGCAATTGAAATTGAAAAATAATGTACTGGAATGTTTGTCCTTTACTTTCGTTTCTTTTTGATTGTGAGCGCGAGTCCATTTAAAAGTAGAGGATATAGATTTTTATCCCCATTAATGGGTATGCCACTCATAATTATACATGCAGGCGTGAAGACAAATCTCCTAGACAACTAGACTTGCCACTTCATTTTACTGTCTCATTTAATCATTTTCAGTCCTTTGTTTTTATTGATTTCATTGCTTTTCTTTCTTGAGAAGTGTTACTAACACTCCGTTTCAAGCCTTATCAATCCAAGTTCCTCCGTCACTTGGCTTGAATGTTTATCTCTTCAGCAAAATTGGGCAGTCTATCATCGTCCCTCTATCCCTGCATGGCATAGCTAAGGCAACCATTTGTACCAGTCTCATCACTTTTTACTTGGTCATGAGTTTTTGCTTATTCTGCTTTTAGAAGCTGCATATTATCCTGAGTAAATTTCTTTGACTTGGTACTAACAATGGCCATAAGAATTCTAGTACATGTTCTTCTTCCGGCATTCCTCAGTTTTTATACGTGCAAAGGCCAAGACACTTCAGTATCACCACTATCACCAATGAAGAAGAAAGAACAAGAAACCCTGTATTCTGTTATACAAGGGTTTATAGGAAAAGGGTGGAACGGATCAGATCTTTATCCAGACCCTTGTGGGTGGACTCCCATACAGGTTCGACTTTAAATCCAGCCAAGTTATTTTTTGTTTTTCCAGTTCAATCTTTACTTTAATGTAACAGTCTAAACTGTTCTCACTACAGTGGCAGGATAGTATTTCACTGGTACAAGCGCATTTTGCATCATATTCATTCACTATAACATCTTTTAACTATTTATGTTTTGGGTAATGCGCAGGGAGTTTCCTGCGAGCTGTATGAAAAGTACTGGTATGTGACTGTTTTGAACCTTGGGCCAGTTTTTGACAACTCCCTCGTCTGCACCCATGATGCTCAATTTCCAGATGAAATTTTCAAGCTCAAACACTTGAGGATCCTCTCCCTGACTGGCTGTTTCCTTTATCCTACCCAAAATCCAGTCAGATTACCCATTTCAAACTGGGAAAACCTCTCAAACAGCTTGGAATCTTTACACTTGAGGTCAAATCCGGGTCTGGTTGGTACTATTCCATCCTCATTTGGCTGCCTTAGGAAGCTCCAATCTCTTGCGCTGATAGAAAATGGACTGATAGGTGAGCTGCCATCGAGTATCGGTAATTTGGTCAGATTGAGACAACTAGTCCTTTCAGGAAACCATTTTGTGGGAGAAATTCCACTTCATTATATGGGTCTCTTCGAGCTTCTGATATTTGATGCAAGCAGGAATAACCTTTCAGGGGCATTGCCATCAACAGTCGGGCTTTTGGATTCCCTTCTAAAACTGGATTTGAGCAACAACTTGCTAGAGGGAGAGTTGCCAAGAGAGCTGGGAAGGCTTAAGAATCTTGTACTTCTAGATTTGAGTCATAACAAATTTAGAGGTGGATTGACTGGGCCACTTCAAGAACTGGTTTCTTTGCAGCACATGGTAATGTCACACAATCCAATAAGAGGTGATCTATTTGGTATTCAGTGGGAATTTTTCCAAAATATGGAAACTTTGGACTTTTCTGACATGAGTTTGACAGGGAGTGTACCGGAGTCCATGACAAAAATGAAAAGGCTAAGATATCTGGATCTAAGTAACAATAATCTCTCAGGATGTCTCTCCGTAAGTCTGGAAAATATGCCTTCTCTTAGAGCTCTTCACCTGAATGGAAATAAATTCACAGGAAAACTTGAATTCTCAGAAAGGTTTTACAGGAAAATGGGAAGGCGTTTTACAGCCTGGGACAATGCCAATGACCTGTGTTATATTGCCAGCTCAATGACGGCTTGGATCCAAGTGCCTTATGGAGTAAAGCCTTGTGTGGATCAAACATCTGTCATTGAGGGAACTTCAAAGGCCAAGATAAACGAAAGGGGGATTATAAAGGTTCCACCTTGATTACCTGTTTCGCAAGTTCAAGGACTGTCTTTTGTGGGCCTTGGTGGGGTTTTCCCGTTGATTGGAGTTCATAATGTTTTTCTTTGCATTATGTCACTGTAGATAATGTCAGAGAAATCTCAAATCATACTCGACACGCATGCTTGCTTGTATTTGCCTGGAGAGGTAGCCATTTTTAACACTTTCAATTCTGACTCTGATTCTTTCACTTTGGTCTTGGTGATGCTGATCTGTGTCTTGTAATATTAATGCATGAATTTTTCTTTAGAATTTCTTATCATTGCTCTGGTTACGATGTCACTGCAAAAAAATGCAACAAAATAATGTATCCATGGCTGGCGGGACTAAAGCAATGAATTTCTATTCAGTGATTCATTTTGGAATATCTGAAAGATGCAGAGCGTGAACCACCCTATTGCGAAGAATTCACGTCCTACAGCCTACAACTTACAACACTCTGTTGCTGTTCCTTTTTCTTTTTTCATAGCTACATCATTTTTTCATTATTAATGTTGAAATGCAAATTAACAATTATAACGTGGCCGAATTTCAAGTGAGATCAATGTTTTTTTTTTGCTTGGTTTGCAATTGACTATTGATTCAGATAAATTATGTGTAATTTAATTAATTCATTTTTCTAAACGGCTAAACTAAATGATAAGTTATGTTTCTCCCATCTATCCACAAATATTGATAAACTTAATATTTGACCTAAAAAAGAATTAACTTGATTTGCAAGCTAAAATATCAATAATACTCTAAACAGTTCACATCATCTCAGATTTCATACCGATACAAAGGGGAATGTGATTTATTTGTTGTAACAGAATCGTTTCAAGCTTAAAAGTGCCAAAACAATATTAATCGACTGCCAAAATAAATCAAGACCGTAAATAGTGCTTTTCTTGTTATCTACTTATCTATGAAGTGATTATTAATCCGTAAATATTAAAACACGGATACGTATCCGTGTTGCCTCTGAACAGACAATCGTAAAATAAAGGAGAATAATAAGAAGTAATTTTCTAGCCTGGAATAAAAGTTAAGGAAAAAAAAAACAAGAAGAAGAAGAAGTGAAATTTATACGCATTTCTATCCTTTTATTTCACTCTCATTCGTAGGCCTGAACGTTAAAAAAAAAAAAAAACAGAAGCGTAAAAGAAGAGAAGCAGTTAATGGGGGGAAAGTCAAGGGCACGACCTCCTGAATTCTCTCCCACAAGATCGTTAACAAACCTCCTCGTCGATCATGGGATTTCAAATAAATGTCTCTTTTTAAGTCCACATTGGAAGCACGAATTCTGATCAATAGTAGCAGCAAAAGAAATCAGAGAGTACGCACAGTGAGCAAAGAGACAACTAGCATTCCAAAAATGGCTAGTCATATTACGTTGAAAGGCTGTTTGGTGTTGTGTGTGGTTGTTGCTTGTTGGTGCAACGTGTGGATGGTGAGCTGTAAGGAGATTGTAGTTGGTGGCGACGTTGGCTGGACTGTTCCAAAGGATCAAGACTTCTTCGACGATTGGGCTTCCAGGAATAGATTCCTCGTCAATGATACCCTTCGTAAGTTATATAAACTCAACTTTTTTCATGGTTTGCTTGTATCCAACAACATGAGCAACAAGTCATATAATTAGAAGCTTGTTAATAGCACGTCTAATTACAATAAATCTTCTGTTGAATGATGATTGATGCACATTACTCACAGCAAATTTGTTAATATCTTCATTTCTGAATTTATTTATTTTTTTTGCTCCTTTTCTACGGTTTAAGCGTAGTAAAGTGTTTTCTCGATTATTTTAGTTGTTTTTATTTTATTTAATTATTCAATTTTCGTTTGTTTTATTTTTTGTGGGTATATATGTTTAAACCTTGCTTATTTCAATTTTATACTTAATTTTTTTTTAAACAATTCATATTATCAAATCTTCAATTTAGTGTACGACACTCGTTCATCCTTCTGTCAAATTAAGCATTCTAAAAATGAGCTTTTCCTTTTCAGAGTCTAGATCTATTGGTTTTAATACGTTCAATGTAGTGTTAATATATTTTCGTCTTGCTAAAAGTCTACACAAATTATTAACTAATATTACATTGACAACGTTGGTGTAAGGGGTAAATCTAGCTTGAGGATACCTGTGCACAATAAAGAGAAGAGAGCGATGGTGTGTTTGTTGGGTTTGATGTGGTTTGTGTTGATGTGATTAAGGTTTCGAGTACAAGACAGACTCGGTGATAGAAGTGAATGAAGAAGACTACAACAAATGCAAGGCGATGCGTCCTCTATTCTTCTCCAACAATGGGGACACGGTGTTCACATTTGACAGGCCTGGCTTGTTCTTCTTCATCAGTGGCGTTTCTGGTCACTGTGGTCGTGGCCAAAAGATCGTCGTCAAGGTCTTGGACTCCCACTCGCCCCCGCCCCAACATCAAAACGACGACCAGCACAGTGGAGCTGCTGTTATTGCTCCCCTCGCCAAAACGACATCGGTTCTGCTCGTTGTGTCGTCGTTCTTCCTTCTGCTCTTTGCAGCTTGATCAATTCATCATGCGTCGTGGTTGGTCGTTTTAAGTTCGTTTTGGGGTCTAGTCTAGCTGGGTCTTAGGTTTTTCATTGATTAATCACCTAGGTCAATGGATGATGCGTTGTTATATTATGACGTTAATTATTTTCCCTCTAAGAAGTTTTTTTGGTTCGCTTATCGCTCATTAAGGTAGCTTGGCTTGCAGTTGTGGAAATGGTACTCTGGATCTATGATCATCGTATTATCACTTGAAGTTCTGATTATATATAAAAAAATAATAGTTCTATGATATTTATGAAAGGGCAGATACCTTAAGAATGATGACATGTTCTTATCTTTTTTTTCTCTTAAGTAATCAAATTACATGAATAATATTTAAATTATATATATATATAGACTCCATAAATTGTGTGTAAAATTAGAGAGAAAAAGGTATATTTATCAAAAATAAAAATAAACAATATTAAACAATAACTCTGATATATATGATAAATTGTGTGTAAAATAAGGGGGGAAAGGGCGAAGTGTTAATAATTTATATGTAATTATTTGTAACCCCATTCTTGGTTGGCACAAAGTGCTTGATTGAATGGCAATCCTGTAATTTTAAGAAAAAATTATATATAAATCTTGTAAAGTAGATTTATTTATAAATAAATTTTGTAAAGTTTAAAAACTATATCAATTTTAAGGGATTTGAGTGTAATTTAAAATGAAATTACATAGATAATATTACCTTTATTTATAATGCATGATCAATTTAATTATTGAACATGTGGAGTTATAATTGTAAAAAGTTAAAAGATAGTTGTAAATTTATAAAATATTGAAGTGATAATTATAAATTAATGATAAAACAATTGATTGATGCAATGTATTTTTAATAGGTACACTATTATCTTTGCATCTTAATTTTAAATTATACTCAAATCTCAAAAAATTTAATTATAATTTTTAAATTTTACAAAACTTATTTATAAATAAATATATTTATGAAATCTATATATAATTTTTCTAATTGTAAATGTACTTGATTTGATATTCGTGATAGATGTGATGAGAAGCAGAGTAGATCACTTTCAAATCGAAAAAAATATAATACCCTGTCATACACATCAATTAAGTTTGTGTGCATATTTGTACGTATTTCAAAATATTGAAGAGGCATAATGAATGAGAACAAACATATTAAAATTAAAAATGATTAATTTATTAAACCACGACCTTATCTGCTGGCCAAAAAAAAAAAATCACAAGCTTATTGCACATATTTATTAGAAAATCAGATACTTGCATACATTTCGATAGAAAAATACAAGCATAATGATACTGCGCAAGTTCATGAGCTTCTGGTGAAAGGGCAATAAGCTGAATCGGGTCGCAGTCTCTTCATCATAACTATCATGCTTAAAGCTTAATTAAGTTTCGAATGATTTATAGGGGAAGTTTGTACACTACGCATTTGATTAGAACCAAGGCTAGGACCTGAGCACGTAATAAAATATTCAAATCATATGTTTGGGTAGATGCAATATTGTTTTGATCATATTCATTGAAGATGGCACTGTATGCTATGAGTGTTATGATTTCACAATTTAAAGTGGGATTCGACGACCATCATTACTCGAATGTAAATTAAAGAAGCTGGCTATGGAAATCATGTTCACAAAACAAAGAGATAAAGGAAGCATGAGTTTGGCCCACCTGATGCCTACCTACTTAATCCATATAATGCTTGGTCGAGTGGATCATGGTTTGCCATTTTTATTATCAAAATTTTACTATATAAAACTATAATATTTAATCATTTTCGCAACAGGTGTGTGTGTTTGTCCATTAAATAAATTATATTACATGTCACGACTAAGAATTGATAATAAATGTACATAACAATACGTTCATCAACAAATTGTTACAATAATTTTTAAATTGGTGGTTTTTCTTCAACTATGAGGATTCCATGTGAACTGGTGTCATTTGCCGCTTAATAAATAAATTGTACCATTCATGACTTGCAAATATTTCCTCCGTCTCAAATTATAAAAGATTTTTGAAAGAGTTTTTTCATTCTAAAATATAAGATACTTTAGATATATTAAATTTTTATTAAATGCATCAATTTTAGTATTACTCTTTCTCTCTCAATAATTAATTTTTATCTTTTCTCTTTTCAATGTATTAAATGATGAGTATTTTTTAAAGTTTATATTTTTGTTTTAGAAAGATTAGGTTGTTAAGTGTATTTAATGAGATTTATTGATATATAATATTTTATTTAAAAGTGTCTTATAATTTGAGATAGAGGGAGTATTATGATTTATCATAAATTTTATATTTTATATTAACATTGAGACTAAACTATGCGAATATCTTGCATTGTATGGGGTTTAATAGACAACTCATTTTAATTTATAAATGTTAATGTCTTTTTAAGAATAAGAAATAAGCTTCGTTGACAGTAAAAAATATTTTCAAGATATTCAGAGCAATAGGAAGATCTTTCTCAACTTAGTTACTACATATATAGGGTTGAGATTCAAACCCCAGCCACTTATTTAAATTAAATGATAAAATTTTTTACCATTCACACTAATTTTAATTAATTTTTATAAATGTCATGTTATCATGAAGGAAATTGTAACTACAATTTTTTTTGGCAAAATATCATCAAAAGACTCTAAAAAGAATTTAATATTTGACAATGATTTTTAAAAAAATAAACATTAACAATTAAAACATTAATAATTAAAAAGTGAAATTCAAGTTTTAACATATATCTGATTCATTCGAATTATTGTCAAATATTAAATTTTTTAGGGTTCTTTTACTACGGATGTTGTCCTTTTTTTTTTTGTTATCACTTATTATTGTTAAATAACTTTATGTTTTATATTAATTTTAAACTATTGACTTGTCATTTTTGTTTTGCCCATGTGTGTTAAGTTATCATATAATCAAAATGGAATTATTTTACTCAGCAGCATCAAAATATTTGTAAGATATTTAAAATTATAAAAATTAAATAATTAATTTTTCAAAAATAAAACATGATAAATTTGAAGGGTTTGAATTATCGATTTCTGTTCACGTGACACATGTCACCCCGCTCTTGCTAAACGTGGCTTTAGGTTCTAGATCCCTTAATCCAAAAGGATACCAAATGAATAAGTTGAAAGCTTTCGTACGTACATATATTTATATTTTATTTAGACCCCTTAATACAATTTTCGCTGTTGTTTATTACTTGGAATTCGAAGTCAATTACGCCTTTTAATAAACTTAAGGTGGTAAAGTGAGTGATTTAAAGGAGAAAGCAGGCAAATTAAGTTAAAAAGGAAAAAAAAAAACAAATAGTTTAAGGGGGATGCCTTCTTTTAACATACAAATTAAACATAAACTAGAATGTGATTATATTTCATTTAAAATTTAAAGTAAACTATACTTTTCATAACCAACAAATTGTGATTTGATACAAATTATGTATCATGCGTTGCATAGATATTTAGTTCCATTTGTTTAAAACCATAAGATACTTTGTCTTTAAGTATCATTTTAAAAATAAAAAAATTACATATAGGTCTCACAAAGTAAATTTATTTATAAAAAAACTCACAAAATTCAAAAATCACAATCAAATCTTTTGAGATTTGGTATAATTTGAAATTAGAATAAAAAGATAATAATACCCTTATTAATCAGTTTAATTATTGAATATGTAATGTAACAATTGTAAAATACTGAAGTTATAATTATAAATTACTGATAAAATAATTGTAAAAAATTAATGTTAAACTTTGTTTGTAACATGTGATTATTTAATTATTGAATATGTGAAATTATAGTTATAAAAAGTTAAAATTATAATTATTAGTTATAATTTAATTATTGATTGATGTAATGTATATTTAACAGGATTATTATTGTATCTACAACTTAATTTTAAATTACACTTAAATTTTAAAAAACTTGGCTATAGTTTTCAAGTTTTACAAAACTTATTTGTAAACAAGTTTGTTTCACAATACCTAAACGTAATTTTAAAAATTATATGATATTTTTGTTCTTCCAACATATAATTAATAATATTTTTCTAAAAATACTCTTCATTGATGATGTAATTAATATTTTTTAAGCAGAATATTATATTAAATAAAAATAAATATAAAAAATTTGTAATTTTAAATAGGCCATTAACAAATTTATTGAGAATGCAAATTAATTAGAAATGTTAAATAATTTTAAAGGGAAGTAAGTGATTAACATGCAGCAATGATAACATGTGAATCATTACTAACATCAAATGTCACAGATATGGTAATAGTTTGGATCTCTTAGGCATCATTTTAAAATCCAATTCTTGAAAGTATATATGGAACTCATTATTTAAAAGAGGATAATTTCTTAAATGATTATGGCTCTTAGATTTCTTAAAGGATTGGTCTCATGGCTGGGCTGGTGATACCTCAAGTGAAAAAAAAAAGAATTATCACTAATATTATCAACAATATCAATCTTTTTTTTCCAGAAATATATCATTCTTTCACACATATATTTCTTGTGAGTTAAAAAAATTAAATTTAAATTATAAAAAAATTCATTATCAAGAGATCTCATAACATTTATAAAATACTTTTAAATTATAAATCCTACACATTTATAATGTGATTAAAAATATTTACAAGTGAGTAATGAGCATTCACAACTTACAAAAAGATGACAACTTATAATAATAAGTTATAAAGATAAAAATAATAATTTATAATAATAAGTTATAAATATTTTTAGTTTAGTTATAAATACATAAAATCTAAAAATATTCTGTGAATCTAATGGGACTGGGTATTAAATTCTTTGCAATTTTTTCTTAAAAGAAAGCATACGTTGGCCAAACTTTCCCAAGCAAAATGGGGGATTCCTGTTCACCAGGTCGAGGAAATTTCCAAGTGGTCCCCACAACTCTCCCTTGGCATTTTTTCTTAAAAGAAAGCATACGTTGGCCAAACTTTCCCAAGCAAAATGGGGGATTCCTGTTCACCAGGTCGAGGAAATTTCCAAGTGGTCCCCACAACTCTCCATTTGGGAGCTGACATTTTGACCGTTAGCAGAATAAATTCAAATTTCATGTTGCAACATACTCCCTAAGAATAATGACCCTTTACGTTTCTCTCATTCCGCTTCGCTTTCGAGGATATGCAAGAAATTCAGCATTTTTTGAGGTGTAATGAGCAGAAAATGGAGTCTCAATAACCTCCTCACAGATCGAGTTCTCCCACTCTCATCGTAGCGGTCACTTGGTCGTCGTCGTCTTCATCCATGACCGCAAGGTTCTGAACTCTTTCAGCTTCCATTTGTTTTCACGGTGACACTTTCTTTGGGACTTCTGTGGTAAAACTAGGAACTTCATTGATTGTTGAGTAGCGTCTGGCTGGATCAAGGAACAGATTTTCTGGGTATGTCTAATCAGCAATAAAGTGTAGAATGCCAGTTTCAACTCGGTCTCAGACCGTCGGCCTGGGCCAAAATGAGCCAAGCCCAGAAGGGAGAATCGGAAACAGAGTAAATCAAGACGATAACGGTACGAATCCTCATTCAAAAAACCCACACCATCGCCTGAAGGAGAAGTTGAAAGCGCTCACTGTCTTGTACGAGCAGCAGAAGCAGGCTTCCTTGGCTTTCAAGAACTCGTCTTTGAAACCCGAAGACTCACGATTCACCACCCTCCCGGGAGGTGGATCTTCAACGAAACAAGACAAGGAAAAGGGTTTAAAGCCAGACAATGTAATGCGAGAGAACACTATGTCCAATTCGACCATTACAAGAACGTTTGTGCTGCCTCACCCGCCGGCGGAGGATTCCAAGGAAAATCTGGTCGGAGGGACCGACCGGATCGTCGGCTTTACCTGCCCAAGAAAGGCCACCGTCGCTCGGAAGCTTTCGATTGGGACGGCGCCGCCGGAAATGAAAGTGAACCAAGAAGCCGAGAAAGCTGGGAAATTCGGGAATCGAATTCTCGTGTTTGTGAGGCTCAGGCCAATGGGGAAGAAGGAGAAGGAAGCCGGGTCTCGGTGCTGTGTGAAAATCGTGAATCGGCGAGACGTTTATCTGACGGAGTTTGCGAGTGAGAACGATCACCTGAGGTTAAATAGGCTTCGCGGACGGCATTTTACCTTCGATGCTTCGTTTCCAGATGTGGCTACTCAACAAGAAGTTTACTCCACGACGTGAGTGTTTTGAAATTTTGAAATTCAAAAATCTTATCTTTAAAGCTAGAACCCTAAAACCACTCTGCTCTTATATGTACGAGCTGGATTATTTCCTAGTGATGAATTTCTCTCTGAGGTTGCTTGCTTTGGCGTAATAGTTTCAAAATCTTGTTCTCGTCTCAAATAGTGGATTAAGGGACATATAGCTGACTAGTATTAGAAGTCAATGAGGTTGTAATTAACCAAGTCAAAAAAGAAATAAATCATTATGCAATGCATTGAAAATTTTGGCGTAAAGATGCATTAATTTTGTAAATCTTTCAGAACTTCAGAACTTGTGGAAGCAGTTTTGCATGGGAGGAATGGTTCAGTTTTCTGTTATGGAGCCACGGGGGCTGGAAAAACCTACACAATGCTGGGAACAGTAGAGAATCCTGGAGTGATGGTTTTGGCCATTAAAGATCTTTTCAGTAAAATTAGGCAAAGAAGCTGTGATGGAAACCACGAGGTTCGTCTTTCCTATCTTGAGGTTTATAATGAGACTGTCAGAGATTTGCTTTCCCCCGGAAGACCACTTGTGCTAAGAGAAGACAAACAGGTATATGGCAAATGAAATCATTGATGAATGATCTTTCCTGTGTACATTGTATTACTTGTGAGTTTTAAACTCTTTAATAGATATCTCATGATACGTTATATCCATCCATGTTTTTTCAGGGGATTGTAGCAGCAGGCCTTACACAATATAGAGCTTATTCTACAGATGAAGTAACATTCTTCTTCCTCCTCGTATGCTTTGAAGATTTTACAGCTATTTGAACCTTGAATCAGCAAATTTTCTCAAATTCAGTTTTTGGTTTAGGTGATGGCATTACTTCAGCAAGGAAATCAGAACCGAACCACTGAACCAACTCGTGCAAATGAGACTTCTTCGCGCTCTCATGCTATCTTGCAGGTGAGTATAAATATTTGTCTGGTCATGATTAACTAACTACGTTGATGTGATTGTGACATGTGCATGTTACTAAAAGAGAATACAACTTGTTCTGTCACGCTTAGGTTGTGGTCGAATATCGAGTTAGAGATGCTGAAATGAATGTGATTAACCGAGTGGGGAAGCTGTCATTGATTGATCTAGCAGGATCAGAGAGAGCTCTTGCCACAGATCAAAGAACAGTGAGATCTCTGGAGGGTGCCAACATTAATCGGTCTCTTCTCGCACTGAGCAGCTGCATTAATGCTCTTGTGGAAGGCAAGAAACACATACCATTCCGAAACTCAAAACTCACTCAGCTTCTTAAGGATTCATTAGGAGGGACATGTAACACTGTTATGATTGCTAACATAAGTCCCAGTCACTTCTCATTTGGTGAAACTCAGAACACCCTTCACTGGGCTGATAGAGCCAAGGAGATTCGAACTAAGGTACGCTATCAGTGCTTATAGTTTCTGCATTTTGAGCAATCTTTTGACTGACTGTCATATGATGAAATGAACACAGGCATGTGATACAAGTGAGGATGTAGTGCCAATGGTCGAGACAGAAACAGAGCAGGCCAAGCTTGTGCTTGAGTTGCAAAAGGAGAATCGAGAACTGAGAATGCAGCTTGCAAAGCTCCAACAGAAACAAATGATTCTCCAAGCACAGTCCTTGGCTGCAAACACTTCTCCAACACCACCTTCTGCTACATCATCACTCATGACTCCTCCGACCTCGGCGCAGCCAAACCAGAAACGAAGGCCCAGAACAACAACCTCTTTGTTTTCTGCCACATGTTTCACCCCCGAGTCCAAGAAGAAAGCAGCTGAGGTAGCAGCTGTGAAGGCACTTGAAAGGACTGTCAAAAAACTAGAGTCTGAGATTGAGAGAATTAAAAAAGAACACAGTTTGCAGCTGAAGCAGAAGGATGATCTGATTCGGGAGCTTTCTCAGAAAGTGGATGGGAAGAGGATGGTGACTAGGAGTAGCTTAAGGCCCAAGGAGACTAATACCGGTGAGCTGAAGAGCCCGAGCCATCGGTTCAAGTCTCCGGCACCGCCAGCCAAGAAACGAAGCTTTTGGGACATAACGACGGCTACTAGTCCCTCAGTTACTACGTTGAACGGAAGAAAAACTCGAAGCCACGTTGCTACTGAACCTAATGCTCCTCCTTCCATGCTTCTTCAGGTAAATTCTCAACATGTTCATTTGAATTCACCACGTGCATTTATATGTCTGAATCTAGTGTTTTCGGTTTGTGTTGATGCTGCGAATGCATATCGTGGATGACATTATTCAGCCGGGTTTCTCTCGTCAAAAGGCTTAATATTTGAGCAGGAGACGAAGTGTGCAGAGACAGGAGCCCAGGAGATGAATAGATGGAAGATTCTCAGATTGCAATGACAAGCCCGCGTTCATGATGGTTGGACTTAGAAATGAGATATCAGGTCCGTGGTTTTGCATCATTGAGTCGTGTAGGATAGAAGGAAACTAGCTGTAGCGCAAAGATCATTACTTGTCCTGTACTATTCCTGGAGAAATCTCCAAAATGAGCTAAGAAGGTACCTTAGTTCGAATCTCCTTTGCTCTATCAGATTATATGTACACATTCATTTAATTCTTTTCGGGATTTGACATGGGATGCTAATTTATCTCTCCAACATGTCAAAACTAGCTTTTCATATTATTATTGTTGTTATTTAATGATTAAATCACGTATGCTACGCTTTGTAACTTTAATTTGTGTGCAATGTAATACATGGCCCTAAAAGAAACAGCACGCGAACGATTTTTTTTGGAAAAATTATACAAATTTATATAAGACATTTTCTCTATTCAAAAATATAAAGCATTATAGGTATTGATTAGAATTTTTTTAAAAAAATACCTTCAATTAAATAGTATATAATTAATAAAAAATTTTAATTTTATTAAGGTTAAGCACAAAAAAAAATATGTAGTTTTAAAAATAATTAATCAACTCATTAAAAGTACAATTCTATTAAAAGTGTCTTGTAATTAAGGCTTTGCAAAAATTCTCCAATCCTATACAATTCAGACAAACTTGATAGGTTTAGTCCTATAAAAAAATTGACCTAAAAGACTAAAGGCCAATGATATTGGATTTCATCTTTGAGTTGGATTGGGTAAAAGATCGAGCTTTCAAAGTGCTTGCTTTGATTTGGTCATATAAAATTATTTTATTATAATTATAATTATTGGTTGAAGTTTGTAGTTAATTTGTTGTAATGCAGTTTATACATGTTAAATTTTGTTAAATGTTGTTATGATTTGAATCCTTTAAATTGTAATTAAAATGTTTTTTGTTTTTGTTAAAAATTATTATGGATTTATTGTGATCAGCTTTTAATGCTTTGTGATAATTTTTGTGAGTATAAATATTTTTGATATCTTAATTGAATTTATCAAGTTGAAATAAATTGTTGTCTTTCACAAAAAAAAAGAGAGAAGGAAGCAAGGTGAGGTGCTATATCATAATAAATAGTTTTTCAATTTTATGGATTAAATTTGATTCTGTTCAGTTTTAGATTAAGGCGAGGTATTATATCATCATAAATAGTTTTTCTATTCTATAAATTAAGTTTACTCCTATTTAACTTTGGATTAAGCTTGAACCAAATCAAACTATGAGTTTTTTGACTTTTTTTTTAGTCAAAAAGACTAGACTTCAGGTTAAATCAAAGCGTAGCCTTATTTATCGTTCATGTAGCCCTACTTCAGGTGAGGTATTATATCATCACAAATAGTTTTCCTATTCTATAGATTAAATTCGCTTCTGTTTAATTTTGAATTAAGCCTGAACCAAATCAAACTATGCTTTTAAGTTAAATCAAAGTGTAGCTTTGTTCATCCTTTATGTAGCCAGTAATGATAATGATAATGGTGGTTGTCCGATTTATCCTACAATTGGTCTAATTCAGCCCAGTCTTGCTGTTGCAAGCTGAACCTGTTTGTTTTTAATGAATCCATATCTTAACTCTTTTACTAGCCCAAGAACACACACACACACACACACACACAGGGTTTGCCTATCTCAGGCAATGTAGGAGGAGGACTCGGCCTATTGTCCCATGAGACTGCTTTTTCTGTAAAAATAAAAAATATCGTATATTAAACTTTGGTCAGCACTCAAAAAATTATTTAAAAAATAAAAATGTATTTTATTTTTTTAAATGAGATAGATGATTTTTAAATTTTTTTATAAAAAACACTTTTCTGCATATTTAAAAATTACATAAATGCGTACGTGTCTTTCTCTTTATGAGGAAGAAGGTAATTATTGATAGCATTTTCAGTCAAAAAAAGCAGAGGAAGAGGAGGAAAGTAGCATTTCAGTTTTAAATCTAAAACCAACAAAATATTATTGAAAAATTGGATAGCGCACATTTGAATGAGAGAGCCAGAAAATGCTTACCAGTTTTTCAATGCTTTAGCAACTGTTTGGTTTCTGGAAGATATGGAAATGAAATGAATTAAATAAATAAGAACGAAAATAAATTAAATTATCCATCCAGGCAAACATGATATTACCCTATCCATAAATTTCATGCACTAAAGTATACTCTTCTCTCACATGAACATGATCTTCCTTCTATACTATAATCATTTTATTTTTGTCTTTATTTCTTTAATCTATTTCATTTTCTTTCTTTCTTTCTAATAATCAAACAAGCAATTAATGTTTCCATAATATCTACTAATAACGTGATACACCGAGTTCAATGTTTTTTCCCCTCAGTGCATTATGTTTTAGTAACTTAACTATGAGGAAAAGAAATAAAAAAAGATGTTTTGAATCGGAAATAAAAGCCACAAGATAGGACACTCTCACCAGCTTTTGCGTCAATGATATTTTGATGCCGACAATCAAGTATTGAGCCCCATCCATGAAACCAAATTGAAATTGACATTTTTGTTGCGTTAAAAATCTAAATCAGTCATTGGAAATTCCAACTACATTGTTCTCTTGGGTCTGCTATTTTTATAATATAGCCAAACCTGCGTATAGGTGAACATTCAATCAGTTCAATTTCAATTTCTACAAAACTGATTGACTGAATTATGTAAAAAATTTAAATCAAATTGAATTAAAATCAAATCGAATTATCATTGTTCGATTCAATTGGTCTATTCAGTTCATAAATTTTGATTTGGGTTTATGAAGTCTAGTTGTTCATACATTCTTCTATCCAGTTTTTTCCTTGATATTGAAGGCCTAACAAAAAAAATAACAATCTTATATCATAATTCATGAAAAAATTAATAAAATTCAGTATTATTATAGAAATAAAAAATAGAACATCACATTAAATAAAAAAATATTATGACTGCAAGTGATAGAAAGATATTTTTTACTTACCTAGATAAGAATTTATTCACCTCTTCAAAAATATGAAAAGAAAAAAAAAATATATATATATAACTTGGTCAATTCAATTTACTTGGTTCAAGAATTCTTGAACCGAATTGAATCAATCAATTGAAATTTTTATTAAAATAAAATCAAATTGAACCGTATAATCAAATCAAATAGACCAAATTTAATTTGATTCAATTCGATCTTCAATTTCAATTCAGTTTTACTCATCCCTAAGCCTAGATCTCTTCCTATATTTTGTTTTTAGGCCCGTTTGGATTTTAGCTGAGTATGATTAATTTTGAAAATAATTGATTCTAATTAGAGTAAATATAATTTTTAGTCCTTGTACTTTACTCACATTTTACTTTTGATCCCTATACTTTTTTTTTTGTATTTTAGGTTTCTACACTTTTATTTTTTATTATTTTTGATCCCTTTATAAGTAAAGTATAAGAATCTTGGAAGGACCTAAAACAATGAAAAATAAAAGTGTAGAGATTTAAAATACTAAAAAAAATATATAGATCAAAAGCAAAATACGAGTAAAGTACAGGGATCAAAAGTTATGTTCACCCTTTTAATTATAATTGATTATATTATAATGTAATTTGCTTAGATGTTATTTTTTTAAAATTGATTTTAATTGTATAAACTATCATAAAGGTACCACTTTTCAATATTAAATTATTGATAAGATTGTATTTAATATTATTAAATTTGTTAAAATTTATTTAAGGAGTAAGATATATTATTTAATATCGCTTTTCAAATTTAATTTGATTCAATTTGATCTTCAGTTTCAGTTCAGTTTTGATCATCCCTAAGACTAGATCTCCTCCTATATTTTGTTTTCGGGCCTGTTTGGATATTTGCTGAGCACAATTAATTTTGAAAATAATTGATTTTAATTAGGGTAAACATAATTTTTATCCTTGTACTTTACTCGCATTTTGCTTTTGATCTCTATATTTTTTTTTGTATTTTAAGCCCCTATACTTTTATTTTTTATTATTTTTGATCTCTTTATAAGTAAAGTATAGGGATTTTGAAAGGACACAAAATAATAAAAAATAAAAGTATAGGGATGTAAAATACTGAAAAAATATAGAGATCAAAAGCAAAATATGAGTCAACGATAGAGACCAAAAGTTATGTTTATTCTCTTAATTATAATTGATTATGTTATAATGTAATTTGCTTGGATATTATTTTTCTAAAATTAATTTTTACTGTATAAATTACCATAAAAGATACCTCTTTTTAATATTAAATTATTGATAAAGTTAGATTTAATATTATTAAATTTATTAAAATTTATTTAAGGAGTAAGATATATTATTTAACAGTAAAATTGAATTTATAAATAATATCTCAAAACGTATTTCAAAATGTGATTATAACTTAATAATCAATTATCAGATTTTTTAGCTGTTTGGGTTATTTTTTTAAAATTAATTATTTTGCTGAAAAAATCGATTTTCTATGCAATCCAAACAAGCTGGTCTTCTTTTGGTCAAGCTTAAAGTCTCCTTTTTTCGGAGGCAAAATTTATAGGTTTGTAATTCAACTGCCGAGGACTTTCAATATTCAACCCATGGAAAATCATTTTTTTTTTTTGTAAAAAACTGTAAATTCTGAGATAAAATTGATTAATTTTTGACTTGCAAAATGAATAGGTATGTATGTATCCTTAAAGGTAGATAAAATTCAATTTTTCCTCAGAGCCATGCAGGATTAAAATTACAGGAATAGTTATATTAATAAGTAATAACCAAAAACGTAACCAGGGGCAGTACATCATAACCTATTTTTAATAGCAGTTATATTTATAACTTAAAGAAATGAGTAATGAATTATCGAATTGTGATGATCCGAGGGACCAACCAATATAATGTAACTTAACAAACGCCATCTCTACTTGAAAAACAGGGCACAAAAAGGGTTTATATGTAAGTTGGCCTTTAAACTATAAAGAAAAAATAGCATTCAAGGATCACTATATAATATTTATATCTTAGAAGGATTAAATGATTTGATAATATCATTGTAATCCTCTGATTCTTCTGACATATTAATTTTAGATGCAAAAAGATCGAAATACCCTCATATTTTTTTAAAAAAAGAAACCTCCACCATTGTCGGCCGTCGGACCTCTGCCAGCAGCGAGGTCGTCGGAGCCCTTGTTACAAAAACAGGGCCATCAGCAGCTAATCGTCGAAGCTCTAATGTCAGTGACATTTTATTTTAAAATTAAGATTTTTAAGTGGTCAATGATGGGTTTGATCTCATAACCTTTGACTATCTAAAAAGCATGATAGCCTAGCGGCCACCAAGCCCTTTAATATATATATATATATATATATATTAAAAAAATTATAAATAGTAAACTAAACACAAAATTACTTCTATGTAATAACCTAATGTGTGTTGTTAATTTTTGAACAGAACTTGTTATTTTATGAATATCATTTGTTAATTTGATATGGACAATTACAAATCGAGAGTTTCAAAACTTTACTCATTTTACTTGTTAAATATCACAATGTTTTGTTGTCAATCACAAATAGGATATTGTCAAAATTAAACGGATACTTGTCAGTAAATGACTAGCACGCATAACTAAACCCTTCCTATCATTTTTTCCAACTTGCTAAAATCATAATAGATTCTTGTTAATTTTAAATGAATTGTTATTATTTTACGAATATCACTTGTTAATCTGATATGAACAATTACAAATTGGGAGCTCCAAAATTTCATTCATTTTACTCGTTAAATATCCCAACATTTTGTTGTCAATCATGAATAAGTTGTTGTCAAAATCAAACGGATACTTGTCAGTGAATGATTAATACCGCACAACTAAACCCTTCATATCATTTTTTCTAACTTGTTAAAACCATAATAGATTTTTATTAATTTCAAATGAATTTTTATTATTTTACGAGTGTCACTTGTTAATCTGACATAGACAATTATAAATTGGAGGTTTCAAACTTTTACTCATTTTACTTGTTAAATGTCCCAATATCTTGTTGTCAATCACGAATAGGTTGTGGTCAAAATCAAACAAATACTTGTCAGTGAATGACTAACACGCATAACTAAACCCCTTCTTATCATTTTTCTAACAATTTTTCGTTTGATTTTGACAACAATCTATTCATGATTGACAACAAGATATTGGGACATTTAACAAGTAAAATGAATGAAATTTTAAAGCTCCCAATTTATAACTGTCCATGTCAAATTAACAAGTGACATTCGTAAAATAACAACAATTAATTTAAAATTAACAAGAATTTATTATGGTTTTAACAAGTTAAAAAAATGATAGAAAAGATTTAATTATGCGTGTTAGTCATTTATTGATTAGTATCTATTTGATTTTGATAACAATTTATTCATGATTGACAACAATTAAGTAAAGTTTTAAAACCCCCAATTTATAATTATCCATGTCAAATTAACAAGTGATATTCGTAAAATAACAAGTTTCATTCAAAAATTAATAATACACATTAGGTTATTACATGAAGGTGATTTCGTGTTTGATTTACTACTTAAAATTTTGTTTGCTCTCTCTACATGCGTGCGTGCGTGCGTTTTAAAGGGCTTGGTAGCTTAGGTGGCCAAATATTATGAGATTAAACCTACCTTTAGTGACCTAAAAACTTTAATTCTAAGATAAAATATCATCAACGTCAGAGCTCCGGCGACCTTGCCAACAGCAGGGGCTCCAGTGATCTTGCTGCTGGGGATTTCTTTGCCTTTCGTTTTTTAACTATGAGGGCATTTTGATCTTTTCGCATCTGAAATTAATATGCGAGAAAGATCAGATGACTGCAATGATATTATCAAATCATTTAGTCCTTTTGGGATATAAATATTGTATAATAGTCTTTGGATGTTATTTTTCCAACTATAAATTGAGTAACAATTTAAATCAAAAATTTATATTTGATACATTCTAAATTCTACATAATTAAATCTGGGTCAATTTCACCCCACCATTAAATTAAAATAAATGTTCATTATTCATTTTTTAAAATGAGGTTTGATGTATAATTTTTTTCAAATAAATGTAGGAGAGAGGGAGGGAGAGTGGAAATTGCACATCAAATTTCATTTTAAAAAAATAGCGACATTTGTTTTAATTTAATAGTGAGATGAAATTATTTTAAATTTAATTTTTCAGAATTTAAAATTTAAATTACCTCAAAACCTATACTTTAAAATTTAAATTACATACCAACCAAAAAAAAAATAATAAAGGTAACCAATAGTGTGTTAGTCAGGCCCACCCACTATGTTCTTTCCTTGAAATCGAGCAGCTAGCCAGTAGCCACCGATTAACAAGCAAGCAGCTCCTCCACACCACACCATATGAAGCCTGCGATTAAAATAATAATATAACAATAAACCCTCCACCAAGGGAAAAAAATACATTACACAAAAGAACGCACACACATCTACGTACTCCCTTCATTCTTATTATAAGATATCTTTTATAAAGATTCTTTATTTCTCAATATAATGTACATAGAATGTTATTTATGATACATCCTCAATTTTACTCTACTGTGGATTTGATTTTATGGCCTATTTCTTAAGTTTCAACAATTCCAATGAAATAGTTGAGAATAGGAGGGATTATGCAGTAATAAAATTGTCAATTAAGGATAGTCTAGACCTCAATAACTAGCCTTATTAATTTAATTATATCTCAAGGCTCTATTTTATAAAATCCAACATCAGCTCTTAGGGTTGAAGAGCCGGTCTTACTTCCTTATTTCTTTCCAATTTAAAAGTTCAAAATATGTATTTACAATTTCAAAAAAGTTGTTACGTATAAAATTAAATTTAAAAAATAAATTTAAATCAATCCACGACATAACAAATTTAACTCTAATACAAAAAAAAAAACAATGAAGCAAACCAAAATCATAATTTAAAAAAATTAATAAAAAGGTTTAAGAGGGCTGAATTACAATTGTACCTCCTAAAATAACAACGCTGCCTTAATTATTTATGAGTTTAAAAGAGCCGGGCTAATAGATATAGCTCTAATTAACATCTCTATATAGCAAGAACAACTCAATGAACTCTTCTAATTTCTTCCAAGTTCCTCTTTTCTCAGTGGTGGGCTGGGGGATATAAGTGCACTTAATTAAAGCATCAACTGTACAATAAAGCATTGCCCGAACTTTATTTGAGCATTGAGCTTTTGATTCTCTCGAACAATGATGAGGAGATCATGATAATTGTATGATTTAATTATTTCTTATTTCATTACTTTCCCCAGCTGTAACCCACACTTTTAATTTTCTCCTTTCTTTTCTAGCAAAAAATGAAAATTTTCTCATGGTCATATCAAACTAAGGATGTGTTTCATATTTTATTATATCTCACATGATCATTAAAATTGTCATATAAACATTTTAAAAAATTAATTTAATTGTCAATTTTCTTACAAGCTCTCCCATTAGTATAATTGATATTATCTAAACATAACAAGGTTGTACTAAAAAAAAATTCACATATTTATAGTCTTGTGAATGGCGGGAAATATCACCCAAAATGATTCTCCTCCAGTCCTATATATTAATCACTTTTTAGAAGTATAATCTGATTTATTTTATAAGTCACTAATTAATGGGATTATTTTATTTCAAATTAAAATTTTTAAATTATTTTTAAAAAAGTAAGAGGGAGAGAAAGACAGGAAAAATAAGATTATAGTATTTATTTATTTTTTACTTTTTATTTAAAGGTTATATTTAAAATTTTACTTACTTTTTTTCTTACACTTTTATTGTATTGATATTGATGAGATTAGTAAAAATGACTTACAAATAAAATTAAAGAAGTATTATTACATGGCTTTTGACATCTAAAATAAAAGACACCTGAGAATGATAAATGAATGGAATATATTAAAAAATGCAAGCCTAATCTATTAATAAATTGATTATATTCTATATTCATCATTTACATAGTTTAAATACTTTATTTTATGAACCATTTGTAATATCACTTACATTGGAAAGCCTGAAAACTAGGATAGGTGAAGAGAAAAGTGTGAACATAATGATGGGCATATTATCAAGTTAAAGGGATTTTTCTTTATTTTTGGACATCTTTGTTATATCGTTGGTGGGCTATATAGTCTACACTTGCAGCTCTAGCCGCACAAACTACAATGAGTAATGAATTGATGAGAATACTACAAAATTGGACAATGCCAATTAATTAACTAGACCAGAACGGAGAAAAAAAGAAAAATAAAATAAAAGCAGTCAACAAAAGGAAAAGCTGACGGCCAAGTGTATTAACAAAAGAAAAAGGAAGGGAAAGATGGGGTCTAGTGTCACATGTCAGGATATGAAATTTCTCATTTTTTCCTTTTTTTCCCCCCTAAATATATATATTGCTTTTGATGACTTCTATGATTAGGCTTACAAAACATTGTTGGGATCATTTCACAAACAAAATTGGCATCAAAAGCCATGATTGGAACAGTCCTTAGCTTTTTGAGCAAATACAGAAATATTTTGGATTATAGGTAGATGAAGATGCTGCTGATACAGAATCCTAACTGAACAGGGAAGCAAGTGCATCACAATAGTAATAATGAAGCCATCATATCCAACAGATAAAGAAGAAGGGGGGCAAAAAGCTGATTTTATTGATAAATTCAAGCTACGGTTTATCTTTAATATGATCATATCAATATAAATCTCAATGGGCATGCACATATAATGAAGAAACGGTGTAAAGTGCAGAGAAGGCATAAGATGGCATGATGAAGTCGATACAGTTAATCAAACCAATGACAATGTGAAGACATTCATGATTTGCAACGACTTTTTTTGTCTGATCACTGATTAAAAAGGATTGGGAAAGAAGAAACTATACATATACACCCTTTCATGCCCCACATCACCATGCTGTAAAGTATACTAATCACCCACCATTTTCCACCTCCCTCTGACACAGTAAGTCCACTTCTCATACTAATCTAAAAAAAAAAAAAAGAAGGAAAAAGAACTTGGAGAAGACATGGCCTCCGTTGATGCTAGTGTTTCAAAAAAGGGGAAATGAACTAAGTAACTGAACAGAGCTTCCATTGATGCTAGACTCTGAGCAAGTATATGCTGAGCTCCGGAGATCCATTGCTATCTGGATTCATCATGTAGAAAGCTTCAGAGTCTCTGGACCCCACAATTCTCTCAAACTTAGCCCTCATGTACATGATTTCACCGTCACCACCATCAGATCCAGCTTCAGCAGGCAAAACACCAGCACCCATTGAAATTTTCTCAACAGCTTTCAGTATATCCCACTCCTTTGGCCCGCATTCTCTTCTCGTAGCAAACCCACATTTCTTCCCATTACAGTACGTCCTCCATACCGGCTCTTCAAGCAACCTCACAGCTTTCTTACCTTCTTCCTTCTCTTTGTCACATTCCAGAGCGATTCGAACTAACCCAGATGCCATTTCACGAACAAGACCACTAATTGGTGTAGCCAACTCGATCAAGAAGGCTGGTTGGGAAGTGGGCTCCTTTTGGAACGCAAAATGCACATGCCCACGTCGATACCCGAAGAGGGTTCCTACTACTCTAGGACCTAGGCCGAAGGGTAGGCTCGAACGGTTCTTACCAAACTTGGTGAGGATGGATCGAAGCCTTGAGATTGCAATGGCTTGAAGCTTCCTTCTTGATGCTGCTTGTTGTGATGCAGCTGCTGATCCTGGATTCTTGTCATTATCCTCCTTGGTCTCCTCCTCCTCTATGATTTTTAAGATTGATTCTGAAGTGGGAGCTTCAGATTCTTCATTGCCTACCTTTTTAGTCCAGTGGAAGTGCCTCTTGGAGGAGAAATCTTGGGAGGTTCTAGCAGCCATGTCTGTCTTCATCTGAGAAAGAAGAAAAACTCAATTTAATATATGAAAGGGTTGGGAAAGTATCTGGTTTCTTCTCCTTTTATTGATACGGGGGTGCTTTAATTAATTCTCTGTTTCTAGACCTTTGGTGTAAATGCAAGAGAATCCTGACAAAAGAAACACGGGCAGTCCCACCAGCTGATATAGGAAATCAGACACAGAGAGATAGAGGGGTGGGATAGAGTGCATTTCAAATAGAAAAAAAGCAAGGAATCTAAGGAGACAATGTGTTTGTTGTTTCACTTTCTTGTGGGGCAGAGAGAGAAGAATTGTGCTTGACTATCTCTTTTGACTTGATGTCCAAAACGGTTAAAAAAGAAGAAAGAAAATATTAAAGCCAAAACAAACAAAAAACAAACCTATCACTGTTGAAACTTGACATGCCCTAACATACCTTCCTGCATCCATGTCTGCTGGTGCTGGACGTCCACCTTGATGACATCATCCAGTTATGAGTCTCATGGAATATGTTGGGTGCAGAGTCTACATGGCACCTACCAACGAACGGACAGCCCCAATGCATTTCATTGTTCATGGGCCCCACCACCAGTTCTTCCTTCTGTTCACTCGGCACCAAGTAGAGGCAAAGGCAAGCTAATCCTTCATCAAGTGCGTTTTAACTCAAGAACCTTTCGGTTTAGTCATCTTAAGGTTCTTACTAGGTTACCCCCAAATCTTGCCAATTTTAATTAAGAAAACAGAGATCCATTGTTTCAGCTCAGGGTACCAAGTCCTTGAATTTTTATCAATCTGATAATATTAGCAGGCGCGAGGATGCGAGAGAAGAAGCAAAATAATTTCACGAAATTACAAATAGGGGAAAGTTTTCATGAACTCTCACTAATTACATTAACTTCTAAATATATAGTTTCATAGGGTTCAAATAACTAGCACATCTGCCTCGGCAAGCGAGTTAGTAAATGTTTTTTTTTTTTTTTGTACATAGAAGAGCTACTGAGAAGCAGAGAGATGCTTTGCCTATACTTGAAGAAAATAATAAATATATTCTAACATAAAGTTAGCTATCTAAAGTTTGGCCAGCATCCGGCTGCTTGGAAGCAATGGCCCCACCATTCATTCTAGCACGCGCCTCTGCAAACATCCTTTGCTGCTCCAGCAATGCTTCCTCCTCAGTCATCTCAGCTCCATTGCTCCACTTGCCAGCCCTTAAAGAGTCCTGCTGTAAAACAACCAAAATCAGTAGCAAATAAATTTACTCTCTTTTCAAGTTTAACCACAAGCAAGAACACTAGTCCATAATTAACTTTCCAATTTTAACTGGCCAGTAATAAGAGTGTCCTCCTCCTACCTCTCATAGGGACCAGCAGTAGTGACGTGTACAGGGAAAACAAGCTATGGGATAGATAAGCTGAGCATTCGTGTCATGAAATTCAGACCATTGATCGACCAAACATCATACTGATGTCACAAAACACAGAACACTTGATTCAATTTAAATTTTAAATAACATCATAGTTTTAACTTTTAAGTTTCTTTTTTCCAATATAGCTACCGCCGCAAGCATGGGTGGACCATATAAACTACCAGAGATTTCATGGGTGACATTGATTTTTGCAGCCAAACAATGCGTGGGCAGTGATCTCAGGTATCATAACGAAATACCCTGTGGAAAGTCCTAGATGTCAGCCCCACTTTGACTGGCTGGGGCCCTCGTTTAGGGAACCGTCCACCAGGCTGCAAGTGCCCCCTAAGATAGTCACCCTAGTTGGACCCGGATTTGAAAACACAAATTCCGCTTCCATTAGGGATGGTACAGATCAACAAGGCCAACTCCAGATTTTCATGGTCTTTTCATACTAATGCTCACCCACAAAGAAAGAGCGGGGGGCGATCAAAAGGGATAAATTCTTGAGAAATAAAATATCATTCTAACAATTGAGAAGAACAAGAAGCATTGAAAGTAAACAAAGTACATTGGTCTCAATCCTATGCTGCTCATATGCTGCATAAACTTCCTCAATGTACTCACTGAATCCAAGAACCTGAATCATCAAGCAGATGTAAGTCAATGAAAAAAAAAAGAAAGTTTCACGCAAGTCGATAAATAATACTATGTAATCCAACCAATGTTCAAAATTTCACACGAATGTACTTGTGATTATGAAAAACAAACTTGCCACGCCAAGAAAGAAAACAAAATGTATTGAAGTAAAAAGACGCTTATGTAGTAAATAATAGACTGTTGGCAAGAAGCACGGGAAAGCACATAGTAAGGATGGAGCAGTGATTAAACCAGCGGAAAAAATTATGGGGGTCTAAAGAGGGATAACATATTATCCCAAGAAGAGAGGAAAGCTAAGCATAAATCCAATTGCACGCAACATGCAGCAACTGAAGGTTATCAGATCATGAAAAAAAAAGAAAGTAAAAAGAATGGAGTGGGGGCAAAGAAGATGGCAATGCAACAAATTACAACCAAGCTACTTTTTTCTTTCAGAAAACAAATTAATTGAGGGGAAAAAAAGAAATTGCCGCTGATCTTGATCCTATCCAATATTGACATAACTTCCATAAGCTGCATCAATAAGACCTTTTATCCAATGGTGATTTTCATGTCAAAGATGAAGCTATATGGTGTGTATTCCACTCCAATTCAAGTATCCAACTAAGAATTCACGACCATTTATAATCACGAGCCTTTTCCAAGGGTTTAACACCCACCAAATTCACCAAATATCTACCATTACAAACAAAATGGGAAGCCACTTCTATAAACTGTATGTTAATAACATGATAAAGCATATAAAAAAGAAGCCAAATCAATTACCCTTGAGAAAAGTAAAAACTGGCCACCATTTGCCATAGTACCACAACAAAGGAACGAAATATAAAAACCAATATGGTCACTTTACAATTAAAAAGATACATAAGCATAAACAGAACAACAGCAAACCAGAGGTAATTTTTCTTTCAGATAGAAACTAGAGATGAAAATTAAAAAGTAAAATGAAATGCATCACTCTGAAAGAGACCATTTAAACACTAAGATATAATCAATTATCAAAGCAGGAAACACACATAGCTTGAGTAATGCATTAGGCAGATAAATAACCTGTAAAGCCTTCAATACATGCTCTGGTGCAATTGTCCTTTTATCCTCTCTATTACAGACATCATTGGACTCCGATGAAACAAGGTTTATAAACTCTACAAAAATATACATCAACCAACAAAACATATTCAGTAATATAATTGAAGCCTAAGTGTCAAAGAGAATTCAAGCAATGCAACATTTTTTTCTAGTTAATTAACATGGATATACTAAGAAGAAAAAGAAGACAACATAAGAATAACTTTCACATGTTCATATTCGTAATATATAAGACAGCAGAGTTAAAAGAGTATTTACTAAATTTACAAAATATGTATCCAAGAAAAATTCACAAACGAATAAAATTATTGGAATTTTAAATATATTTATAACCAAATTTGGAACAACATGTTCATCAATTTATGCTCCCAAAATATAACCAAATTGACATTCTACATTTGCAAGTAAAGCTTGATAGACAAAATCATTAAAATACAGATTGAACAAACAAAGGAGAAATGACTACTGAAATTTAAGAATCAATAAGGGAATAAAACAACAAAAGTTACATAGCAGTTCTCACCGACACAACATTCAATCAATAGATCTTGTGCATCTCTTGCAACACGTACATCAGGGGGTAACATCTCTTTAATAATTTTTGTCATAGTTGCTGGCAAAAAATCATAATTTGTTTTAGCAAGTGAACAAAGCTATAAGGCATTAACGAAATTAGCAGCAACATCCTGAACAGGTGCTAGTAATAACTAGGAAAAAGACAAACATCCATAGTGCAAGATCCTCATTCCAAGTAAGAAATATATATATATATATATATTCAGCCAAGTATGGCTTGTTGATGTCAACTCGTTAACCAGAAATAAAAGTTCTGCGCCATTTATGATCTCACTTACCGTCCAGTTTAACCACATTACGTTACTGTCCAGTTTAACCACGTTAGGTTATTCAGGCAATATATTCAACAATTTCAAATCTAAATTCAAAATTGAAAGTATCATGAAGATGTCGCAGAAAGAGGCATGTGAAATATTCTAATTTTTAAATTCAGTCATCTGAACTTCTGGATTGAGTAAGCGGGTTAATTCAAAGAAATATCGGGATGGCAAATTTTTGCTTATAAACCCAAATGATCGAGTTTCTAAAAAAATCAAATTTTCAATCTCCCAGAATCATCTTGTCCATCCAAACAATTTGCAGATTGAGTTTGGGAAGAACAAATTAAGATCAATAACCAATCAAACTCGCAAAATAGGGGGGGAATCACCTTTAGGAAGGGAAGCATCTTCCTTTGATTTCCCAACGATGTCCATCGAATCCATATTTTCACCTTAAATCCAATTACACAAGTTGTTAATAGTTATTGCACAGATTTTCACATCTAAGAGAAGAAGAAGAAAAAAGAGGGGAAAGGAGAAAAAGTACAGATCTGAAACAGAGCGCCCAATAAGGATGAAAAAAAGGAACCAAATCACCGAGTTACCAGATCGAATCAAGAAGGATGACGAACCCAAATCTGTCAAAGAGCGAGCAGATGCCGAGTCAACCAATCGAAGATCCGAGTTGCAGTAAGATCAGAAACAGGAGGGAGGACGTCGTTGATATATGGATTTATCAGAGATGGACATGGCGGTCTGGATAAGAGATCAGGTTCTCGCTCGCAAGCGATTAAGGCGACAACAGTACCCCGAGCGCGTCACCGCCAGCTTTTTTCACGCGCAGAAGGAGCGCGTTGTATGTGGTATCAATGCAGACAATGGATATGGGCTGGAAAAGGGCGGGTGAGGGATCCCTTGTCATTATCCACTATCAGTATCAATTACCAAATCAAATTTATATTTATATTTATAATAATAATAATATTATTATAAGGGAGTAATTTTTTATTCAACATATAAAATATTTTATAATATTTAAATTATTTTTTAAATTTAACATTTTTATGATTAATGTAAAAATATTAATATGATTGTTTATTATTAAAAATTAAGGGGAAAAAAGTATATACAATGAGAATTGGGGGGAGTATTTTTTTAAATATAATGAAATTTAACAAAATATTAAAAATAAGAAAACTAAGAAAACAAATGTACAAAACTAGAGTATATCTGTTAAGGTGAGTTTATTTTTGTTTATTTTTTAGATGAGATCTGAATCATTTAAATTTTAATTTGAACCGTGCAAATTTAAAGAATTATTTTATATTATGTTTAATTAAACAAAAATTTATAAAATAATTTTAATAAATTTTTTATTTTTAATATGATTTAGATTTAATTTAGAGGGGTCAATTAATATTAAAATTTTTATAATTGATGTATATTAATTATTCAATAATTTAAATTGTGCAGAGTACATTTGGACAACCAATACACATTAATTATAAAAATTTTAATATTAAATTAATCTTTTTAAATTAAATCTATATCAGATTAAAAATAAAAAACTTGTTAAAATTATTTTATATTTTAATATAAATATATATGAGAATACTTTAAATCTGAACTGTCCAAATTAAAATTTAAATAATCCAGATCTCATTTTAAAAAACTGACCCTGTCATGGTACTGGCATGAAACTTGATGGAAATATTTTTTCTGGGGTCCTTGAAAGCTCAAACGGGATACTGGAGTCCGGAGACTTCTAAGAAAGCTTTATTAGCCAAGTTAATATGGAGCTCTTGACGATGGTTTGGCAGCGAAAGATTCAGTCAGGGTAAATCCTGCCATGATGAGAAGCCAAGGAAATTTTTAGAAACCAAGTTAGGTTCTAAATGAGAATGGATGGATTGCGTGGAGAAAATAAAAGAAAAAAGATTACAAGCATTTGTTCAAAACAAACATTGGGACACCGGATCATCAAGTGGACAGAACATTGGTTCAATTTAATTAGAGGTCTTTAATTCAATTTTGGCATAGTTAAATATCCACGCCAGAGCAAAGTCTAAATATATCTTGGGCCGTTAACATAAATACTCATGTTGTGATGCTTATTTTCTAATGTCCAAACTCCAAAAACATTTAAAACATAGAATTGAAAATAAAATAGGTCTATAAAAATTTTATGAATAGATGATATGTTTAATCTATTTAAGAAATATTAAACAATAATTCATATAATAACTAGTCTCATCTTAGTGAACCTCCTTATGCATAGGGTTCAGTTTTTTTATAAAATCACCAAAAAATTCAAGAAAATAAATTAACTGAGTAAAAAATTCACATCGGTAACAGTGAACTCATTTTACTCTTACATACTATATCAGTAATAAATTAGTATTAGTAATAGTAATAATTAGTAACATATTAACAACTTGAATTAAACAGATGACAATTTGATTGAAACTTGAAAGGATTTACTTCTCACCGAAAAAAATATATTATATCATGATTAGTAATTATTTATATCTGTATTTTTTTGACCAAAATTATTTATAGCTGTATTATTAATTTTTAGTTAATATACTTTATATATTTCTATAATATAAAATTTATTTATATAAAAGTAATTATCTTATCAAATTAAATTAAGAAAGTCCCCTACCCTTTCATGTTAAAAAAAAAAAAAGGAGAGAGAAAAAAGAAAAAAGAAAAAAGAGGGAGGGTATGCACTGTGTCTGCCAGTCTGGGATCTGCGGATTTGTGAATTCAAGCATTCAGCTTGAAACGTCCGCGGCATGTTATCTTATCACCGCTCGGTTTGCCCCCTTCTTCCCTTCCTTCCCATTCTACACTCGTCCATCGTTGCTCTGCAGTCTGCGTCAATTCATTCGATTTCCCAATACCAAAGCAATTTTCAAATTTCATAAATCATTTCCCTCAATCACGAACATAACACTCTAATCACAATTTGCACCGATACGAGAAGGTTTTAAATGGAATCGGAAGATGATGATTATGTATTTTATGGAACGCCAATAGAACGCGAGGAAGATATTACTAGCCGTAAGAAGAAGGCCGTTGCTGAGGCTTCCGGTCACTTGCGAACCCTTCCGGTTTGGAAGCAAGAGGTATGGTTTACTGGTTCCACTATGATTAGCTACTCTGATTCTATTATACCACTTGGATTCTTTGAATTCCCTGAAACGTGCAGTAGAATTCAATTGAAAACTCTCATTCTCTTGGTGGGCCTTCTGGAAATTGGCGAAAATGTGCTATGGATGTGTCTCCGATTGTAATGTGATACCTTAATACCAAGGTAGTTTGGCAGGATAATCCTGAATGACCTTAACTCATGATTTGCGACTGTATCGATTGAACGAATGATCAGTATATGCGTATGCGTATGATTTCCCATAGCTACGTCACTTTGTATGAAGTTGGCTTGAGTTGCCGCGGCGTAGATTGCATGAAATATTCAACCATACCTTGCTGTTTGAATGCGGTGCAAAGTGTATATGCTAGCTACACTTACAGATGTTTCCGGTTTTTACTTTTGCACAGGATCAATGTTGTTTAGTTCCTTCGCATATATTATGGGGTTGGAATTCTCATCAGCTAATATTTTGGCACGACTTATATAATGTCCACTTGTAGCCCAACTTCAATTAAAATTTTAATCTCACCATCTCCAGGTCAGAGATGAAGAAGGGAGGAGGAGATTCCATGGAGCATTTACAGGAGGGTTTTCTGCTGGTTACTATAATACAGTGGGCTCTAAGGAAGGTATAATTCATAATGACCTTAGAGTGCTTCCCTTATTTATTTGAAATTTCGCAAGTAAATTATGGGTTTCAAGTTTCAACCTCTTGGATGAATGTGTAGGGTGGGCCCCTCAGTCCTTTACATCGTCTAGGAAGAACAGAGCGGAGGTCAAACAGCAGAGTATATTGAATTTCCTGGATGATGATGAAAAAGAGGTATGGTTTTGAATAATTTTATGTCAGTATTAGTGGGCATATATGAATATCAACGTTGCTCATGCGTCATGTTTCATTATGCTCCAATTGTATTCATGTTGAATCGATGTATGTAGTTAAGTGATACCAAACATATGAAAATTTTAATCTATCAATTTGATGTTGTTTAGTGAGGCCCAGTTAAATATTTGGGCTTACCTATGAAAAGAACTAGCCTTAACTCCTGTGCAAATGCACAAAGATTCAATTTTTTTCTTTTTTTATAAAATCACAAGATATTAGAAAAGAAATCAGCATTCACATCAATAAATAATAAATGAACACCACAATAACAATACTCAGCGATTCTACTTTTATATATTATATTGATATTGATGATTGCATCGGGACCTACCAGGTACATCGCTCAAGTAATGACTTGATCATGTTTTACTTATTGATTGATATTGAAATATTGGTGCATTTCTATATGCATCTAGTAGTATGCCGTTTCCAGTGTTTTTCACTTTTTTGTTGTGATGTATGCTTTATTGAGTGTATTATGGGGCTTTAAGGATTGAGCAATGCTTATTCTTTTGTGTCTTGTCTAGATGAATCTTGAACTAAATTTTGTGCTGACCGTTGGCAATATGATGCACCTAACTATTTTGGGGATATTTGGTATGATTGGCGGAAAAGCATTCCTTTTTCATTGCAGATAAAAACAAGATATATAATATGTATCATATCTTTGTTTTCAGCATGTAATAGTATTTGTCATGTTCTATTATTAGCTTTTATTTTGGAGCACAAAGGACGTTTCAAACAATCAATATGCAAAATTAATTTTTCTATTCCATTTTTTCCATCCTAATTCATTCTATGTACTGAATGGCCCCTAACATGTGAGTGTAACATATGCAGTCAACTAGGGAGTGCATTTGTTTGATTGGTGGTTTTAATCTCTATCTTGTCATTCCTTTTAATTTAACCCACCCTTCATATGTTTTATAGGAATTGGAAGGTCGTTTTTTGGGGACATCTTCGCAGTTCGACACATTTGGTTTCACTGCTGCTGAAATTGCTCATAAACAGGCTGAGAAGGAACAGCAAAAGAGGTTTTTTTTTGGCAATTATTATTGAACTTTTGTATTCATATGTCAATGGACTTATTTACATATTGTTTTTTTCTTGGGAAGAAAAAAAATCCATTGGTATATTATACTTACAAAACTGGAATTAAAACATGTTTGCTTCTTTGAGAAATGTACATTATGCTTTACACTTGTACATAATGGTGCCATCAACTACTTACAACTGTTTAATTTCCTTTAGTTCCGTGATGATTTTTCTTTTTGGGGGAAATTCTGCCAACAAACATCTAAAGGGTTTGGAGAGCTTCACTACAGTGATAAAAACTGGTTTCTTTCTTTCTTTGTTTTCTTTTGAGTAGAGGATATGCAACTCCTGTATTTTATTCATTTTTTTAATAAAATTTTTCACCTAAAGACAGAGAGGGAAATAAAAGGATAATAAAGCATAGTGCTTATAATTTTTTCACTTTCAAGTTTTGATCCAAATAGTGGTCACTCACTAGATAATTAAATGCTAATTTTTACTCATTGTTTTTCTTGGTTCTGGAAGATTTAAACAAAAAGTTTCACATTCTAATATAATTTCTCAGCTTAGTTGCAATGAGTATTATGTTTGAACTTGTGGCTTGATTACCATTGGATTTGGTGATGTGTTCTGATAAATTTTAGAGGCTTCACATTGCAATGCATTTGACTGTTTCCTTGCAGTAGTTTAATATTATTCCTCCTTGAATGGCTACATTCTCTTTGTATCTTTACATCTGTTTGAATATGATACTGTAACATTGGTTCTTATAACAGTTGTGAATTATATTAGTTCTGTCTCTTTGTTTACCTTTTCCAACCATTGTGACAATTCTTTGGAACTTGTTTATTTTTTTTACTATTCATTGTAGGCCATCAATTATTCCTGGACCAGCCCCTGATGAATTGGTTCTTCCAGCCACAGAGTCTGTTGGTCTGTTCCACTGACTTGATTTAGTAATGTAAATCTGAGTAGTTTCTTCTGTAAAAATGCTTTATCTCTTTGATCTCTCATATTATATTTTATTAGGGGTAAAATTGCTCTTGAAGATGGGATGGCGACGTGGTCGATCAATTAAGGATTCACATTCAAGTGCACTCCATGGTATACTTTTCTAGAATCATTCTTCAATTTTTTTTCTTGCGTTTGCTTGGATATCTGGCTAGCCTGCTGACACAAATTAATCAAATATAAATTGGCTGCTTCTCCAGGATGAACTTCTCCTTTGATTAAGAAATTTACTAGTCTTAACTAGAATGAACCTACTTTTTTTACTAGTCATATTTGGCTCATGCTCTAATACTTTATAAGCACGTCTTTCTATCATGAAAGGTGTAGTACTGTTCTGGCAATAGACCAATTTTCTTATCTTGGCTCATCCTCTTCACAGTTAAATCATAGGATCATATAGCATTTGCATCGTCGGATTATTTCCCCTCTCTTTAATCACATTGTGATCGGGTGTCACATGTTAAAATTTTTAATTTGCTGAAACTCATACTTTTCATTATATAGATAGATTTGAGGTCTATATTTTCAGTGGGGTTGCCGCTTTAAGTATAAATTAACTTGAAGTAAATCTAGCAAATGCATATGAGTTAAGGGAAAATTATAATATTGCAAATGAAAACTAATATCAGAAATAGTCAAATAAATCTATATATAGTAGTTAGTACATTGGTTTATTTCTCTGTTTTGTATCTTTTTTTAATGTCTTCTCCATTCTTTCACTATATTTTTTCTGAAGGGTAAACGGATATTCAAATAATTGCATGTACTAAATCAGACGGTTGTGAGCTTTGATGTTTTGTTGCTCAAAATTTTTTATTCTTTCAGGATTATTTTTGTTCTTATGTTATAGTGACTTATTGTGTCTTCTTATGATGAATTTTCCCTCTCTCTGGTTGGATCTGGCTCTTACATTATTTGGCATTAAGGGCTCTTAGGTGAATTCTTTAAGTTGCTGTCTAAATTACAGCGTTCAAGAGTTCCATAGCTTCTTTGCCCCCCTTCTGTTATCTTTTGTTTTCTAAAGTGCACCCTTGTGTAGTACTGATTCTCCTTTACAGGTTTGGCCTTGATGGACATTCTGGAGATAATTTTTTTGTAAAAAGAAATTGTTTTCTTGTATAAAGCTCAATCTTATTTTAAATTTTGTTATGGTGTTTGTCAGCATCCACTTAAAACTTCAGTTGGTCTATATTTAATTAGTTCTGGAACAGATTGGAGGGATGATGGGAGGTGGCTGCTCTTAGCTGATTCGATATACAAAGTTTATGGGGACTGGGGAGTGAACAAAGCCTAGTCAAGTATGATGTTATCTTCCTAACGTGAAAAGGAACTCTCTAAATAACACTAAAAGTAATTAAAAAAAATTATCCTAGTGTCAACAGACTTGAAGCCCCAACCAGTTTCCTTTTGATTTTATTTTTGGATGAAGAAAGTATTTTTATCTTATATCGGATTTCCTAGCATCAAACTAGTTGATCATTTTGTTTTATTTTTGGGTTAAGAAATTATTTTCATCAAATATAGGTTTTACCTCGTTTTGGTCTGCACTAGTTACATTTCTGTCCAGGTGGGAGGTTTCTTGAGATGTGTCTCAAATAATTTAGTTACCCTCTGTTCAGACGCTAGAAGGCAAGCCCGGAGAGCTTTTATAGCATTTAGTATGGATGATCCAGAAGTGCAAACTACTGATTCTGAGCCTTTGAAGGATGATATACATAATTCTCTTGAGGAGACTGTAAATGATGATATTTCATCTTCTAAACTCACACCGGTGAGAAATCTTCCCTCACAAACTTTAAATGTTTTGCTCATTTTTTCTCCTTGATTTTTCTGACTAGAGGATATCTTATCCTCGACATTTTGTACTTTCTCTTCTTTACAATATGATGTCTCTCTCTTTTTTTGTGGCAAATCTTATAGAAACAATTTATTTATTATTGCATGGTAGAAGTTTTTTTTTTTGGGGGGGTTGTTTTATTAGGACCTCTGGTCCCTTTGTCCAATATATGATAATCTTCTAATAACATCTTACCCAATTTAATCTAAGTTGTCTGGCATTATTTTGACCAACCTAGAAATGTAGTTAAACATGCACCTAGATCTAACATGAAAAGTTAAAGTCAGTCCTCAATCTTCATTGTAAAAGGGAATGTTTGCTTGGTTTTCCTGGTTGGGTGTCCTATGAATGTTGTGGAGAATTTCTTGACTTTATAAACTATATTTAACCTTATGGCTCATTTGGTAGCAAGGAATTGGAGGGAGAGAAGTGGAAGTAGATGTGGAACAGATATTTTTGTTAGTTTGGTACGTTGGCAGCGAGTTCTCAGTACAACTCAGTTCCATCAAAATTGATGGAAGTGAGTTCCATGTCACCTAATGGAATTGGGTTCCATTTCCTGGATAGACTCCTTTACCCCTAGCTTCTCCTTCCCTCTTCCATGTCCTTGCCTACACTTACTGATCCTCCACCTCCGCCAACGATGGTCCTCTGGCAACAACATCGGCGATGAATCTCCAACAGTGACTATGGCTATGATTCTGGGTTGCAATGCAGATCTGGATTGCATAAATATGGAGGAATCACCATTTGGGTTTCAGATCCGAGAATCTCTGTTTGGTTGTGCTTCTTCTCCGATCCCTCCTCTTCTTTCTTCTCTTCCACCTTACTCTCGTGCTCATCATAAACGTTCAAATATTCACAAATATGGGTTCTTCTAAAGCAGGCCATGTTTGAATGTGTGTTCAAAAGCACGAGATAATTGTCATCAATTTCTTTGGATTCTTCTCCTACTTATGGATCTTGCTCTTGTTCTCTTTAGCATTCACTCAAATATGGGTTGTAGATCTCCATCCTTTCCTCCAGGTAGCAAATTTGTGTTTGAATATGTTCCATGATTTTCAGATCTGGTTTTATGAAATCTGATTTTTATTATTGTGTTTGAATGCTTTGTTGATTGAGTATTGTAATCATCTTCCTCAATTTTTCTTGTGGACTATGGTTCTTTTCTCCAATGGTGATTCTTCCATGATAGTCGCTTCAGGTGCTTGTGGTTCAATGGGGCTTTAAAAATAAAAATTGGGGGTATTTTGGTCTTTTCAAAATATAAATACAATATTAAATAAAATTTTAATCTCATTTCCATTTGTATGCCAAACATACTTTTATACCCCGCTTCCACTTCTACGTCCATAAAAAACACTTCTCTGTACCAAACTGCCATTAGGGTGTGAAAGGATAATTTTTTGTTCATAGAAGGTAAGACATAAAAGAGGAGGATAATATATCCTTGTTGAGGGAGATAAGCAAAGACCCAGTATCTTGAAATTGCAACGAAGCTGCCCAAACGCTCTGCATATCTGACAGAGACAAACCCTTGAAGAAATTATTAACGTAAGATAAATAATCTGAAGGCCAAGAACACCCTTGAAGGCTTGTGTGTCATAATTTGTGTATTCAAGGAATGTATCTTGGCAAGATTGGCATAACTGCAACATGATCTTTTCATATTTGTTTCAAGCCTCTCCCTAAGCATGAAGATTTTTGTTGTGTATGCTGAAGGTAAAAATAATCTGATTTTCTCATTACCTTGGGCACAGATTAATTCAATCCTTTTGCTTTTTATTAAAACTTACCTGTTATCTCAAATTTTATCTGACATTTTTACTTTCATTCATGACAGACATTCAGATTTTATCTTTTCTTCTTTTTCCCAGGTTTACATACTCAACCCAAAGCAAGACCTTTATGGTTTAGGTTTTGATCCTTATAAGCATGCTCCTGAATTTAGGGGTATGCTCTTTCTTGATCTATTTATGGAGCCTGTGGTCTGATTGCTAGGACTTGAGATTTTATGTATTCTTTCTTTTTCTCCAGAGAAAAAAAGATTACGCACATCTAGCAAAAGTGGATCTGGGTATAGCAAAGGTTTTTCCATGAAAGATAGTCTTTTTGGTTTGAAGTGTAAGAACTTGATCCTAAATATATTCTTATTAGTGGTGCGTATCTTGTCATTTGATCTTGTCCTATTTTGTATTAACTTCTAGTTTCAATTCATCAGCAGGAAAGGTTGCCTCTGGCTTTGGAATTGGAGCACTTGAAGAACTTGATGATGAGGATGTGGATGTTTATGCTGGTTTGTAGTTTGACTCTGTCATGTCATATTATAATTGATAAAACTTGGGGGTGATGCTTGAGTTTTTTCCATCATGGATGTATTATAATTGAAATTGCACTTCCTAGTGAGAAACCTAATCAAATGCACTTTCAGTTCTCCCTTGTTAAAGATAATGCTTATTGCTTGAGTTTTTTTCCATCATGGATGTGTTTGTGTGTCTTTGCACTTTTTTTTATTTATTTATCAAAGGATAAATTTTTCTTATAGATACGGTTGAGAAGATGAGTGAAGCTTCCATCAATTTAAAAATAAGAAGTGAAACTTGAATCTAGTACAATAAATCTTCCCCCATTTCATTGAGTTTCTGCTAAAGAAAACCTTCTATATGCTCCAGATTGAGAAAAAGCATAACGAAACCTCAAAATAATCTGATATCACATTAATGTTGCCCTTTAGTAATTGAGCTTAAGAGATTTTTTTTCTGTGCCAAATCTCTGATATAAGTCTATATCTCTCCATTCACTAAACAAGTCAGCAACTGAGTATAATACAGCTGTTGAAAAATTGGATGCCTTCATTATCAGACAATTGAGGTGTGCATCCAATAATTATGCAATGATTTCATCATTAATTTGCATATTTCACATTAATAGAAATGTTAAATTTTCTATAACTTAGTGATTTTTTTTTTTTTTTAGGGCATGAATATGAAGATACTTTTGTTCATGAAGTTGAGGAACCTTCAAATTTGGAGAACAAGAAAAAGGTTAACCAAAAGAACCAGAGTAATCTGCCTGGCTTTAGGGTTGCATCCAATGCAGACTATCAAATGGAAAGGTGAGTAGAAGCAATTTATTGTGAAATTACAATGATGATTTTAAATTCTTTTTAATGGTACATGAGTTGGAGCAAGACGGAATATTTGCATTATAATTTTGATTAGAGGTCATTCAGTATCAGTTTGGAAGTGAAATTAGAAGATTAGATTATACATCAAGTGAAAAAGTTTTGATATTTGGGAGTTATTATTCAACGAGATGCGGAAATTGATGAGAATATTACACATAAAATATAAGCTGGGTGGTTTAATTGGAGAAAGGCTAAAAAAGTTATTTGCGATCGTAAAGTACCTAGTAAACTTAAATGGAAGTTTTACCGAACTGTTATAAGAGCAATTATGTTATGTAGTAATGAATGTTGGGCTTTAATAGGACAACAAGAGTATGAAGTTGGAGTAGCAAAGATAAGATCGTTGAGATGGCTGTGCATACACGTAAAGATAAAATCTGAAATGAGCACATACGGAAAAAGTGGGCATAGCACCTATTGAGAGAAAAATGATAGCAAATCATTTGAGATGGTTTAGATATGTACAAAGAAGACTATGGGAGGCACTAGTGAGGAGAGTAAAAAGGATAACTTTGAGCTCTGTTAAAAGGAGTAAAGGAAGGAAAGAAGAACACTTTTGGAAGTTGTTAACCAAGACCTCTTAGTTAACAATAATAAATGATAGAGCATAATGGCATCGTACAATTCATATAACTGACTCCACCTAGTGGGATAAGGCTTGCTGTTGTTGTTGCATTCAATTACTCGAGATGTCTAGTGCACTGTTTTTAGTTGATTGTAATGTTTGGAGGTAAGATCCAAGTTAAAACATTGTGATGATTGCCTTTGGCCAAAGAGAACACTTTTGGAAGTTATTGACTGAAACCTCTTAGTCAACAAAGTTTTTAAAAGTTTGGTAAATAATAGAGCATGATGGCATCATACAATCTATATAGCCGATCTCACCTAGTGGGATGAGATTTGTTGTTGCATTCAATTACTCGAGATGTCTAGTACACTTTTTTTAGTTGATTGTAATGTTTGGAGGTAAGGGATCTTAGATCTAATTTAAAACATTGTGGTGATTGCCTTTGGGAATTAAGGTTTTCCAATTGACTATCTTTCTCTTCCTTTTTCATCCATCATTCAACCTTTAAAATGAAGTTATTAATTGATTTTTTAGATTTGAAGTTCCTGTGATTCCCAAGGATTTTGTACCCCACCACACATTTTCTGGACCTCTGGAGATTGACCACAAGCACTATGATGTTCCTCCACTTGAGGTTCCTCCTCCTGAGGATGGCAATTTGAAGATATTAGTTGAAGGGGTTGCAAATTTGGTTGCTCGATGTGGTAAATTATTTGAGGATCTATCTAGAGAAAAGAATCAGTCAAATCCATTGTTCAACTTTCTTTCGGGAGGAACTGGCCATGACTATTATGCAAGAAAACTTTGGGAGGCACGTCAGAAACGCAATCATCAAATTAAGCAGCCATTTGATGGGAGAATGCATTCAGCTGCAGGTGTGCAGAGGCTGACTGCTGAGAACCGAGGGCAGATCTTGGGGGAAAAGCCTTTAGAAAGAAGCTTCCAAGATCCAACCCCACCTGTAGCTTCTGATGTTCATCTCCAGTTTAATCTCACAGATACATTCACTAAGCCTGCATCATTTGTAAGTTACAGTCTCTTTGTGTTGAACTCTCAATTAGAGATCATCTGTATTTTGCTTCATGTACTTGGGCTGGCTGACAAGTATGTGGCTTCGGTTGATATCTAACACTGATTTAATTTCTTTGGCAAAACCTATTGTCATTTCCTAGGAATCTTAACAAGGGTATATCTAGGCCCTTGCTGATCTTTCTTCCTTCCTTTTTGACAGAGTAAGTTACCAGAGTTTGAGAAGCCTTTCAAAGATGACCCTGCGAAGCAAGAAAGATTTGAGCGGTTTCTGAAGGAGAAGTATGAAGGGGGATTACGTTCTACTAGTTCTAGCTTAGCTGGTAATATGTCAGAAGCTGCTCGTGCTAGAGAGAGACTAGATTTTGAGGCTGCAGCAGAGGCAATAGAAAAGGGAAAATGTGGCAAAGGAAGCAAGCTGTTCAATCCATCTTCTATGGATTTTGCCCCAGCTGGCACCTTGCAATTTACTTCTGGTGGAGTAGAGGTATAGATAAGCTGATTTTTCTGCTGTTTCTTTCCATGTAGCTTTGTATTTAAGTTGTTTGACATACCCTTTGCAAACAGCCAAAGAAAGATTTGCAAACTGAAGATTCCTTAGCAAAGAAAATTTACCCCAATAGGGAAGAGTTTCAATGGCGTCCTTCTCCCCTTCTCTGCAAGCGCTTTGATCTCATTGATCCTTACATAGGGAAGGTATTTCAAGTAGCCTGCTGCATTTCTTTCTTTCTTTTTTTTTTTTAAAGTTGTTTACTTGCTTAATATAGGATGTATGATTTTCACTTCTTGTATGGTTGATGAGGATTTGTTAATTAGTGGTTTGAGCCAACTTCTCACTCATTGACTGAAATGAATTTATTATGATAGCCATGAGGAAAGTGGCAAAGATTTTTTCTGTTAAAATTTTATATCAGACGTATTATGTCCTTTGCAGCCTCCTCCGGCTCCGCGGATTAGAAGTAGGATAGATTCATTGATCTTTACATCAGATTCAGTCAAAGATGCGAGGATTGAAGAACCAGCTAGCACAAAGAAAAACATCTCACATGCGCCTCAATTTGGCAATGACAATGCAACAAACAAAGTTGCCGGGAATGAAGCTGAGGTGGATGTAGAAGTTGAAAATGTTGAAAGGCCAGTTGATCTTTACAAGGTATTGGTTAATTAGTCGTACATATTTCATCTGGTAGGTATCAATACAGACACATTACATTCTGCTGGCTTTCCTAGGGCGTTAGTGGTTCCTTGTTCCGCATGCATTCCTACCCTTTAAGGTCAAATTCTCATCAATTAGGATAGCATTCCAGATATGGAACTGATGAAACAGTCGACAAAAATAAAGAGAATATGAGAAAGATATGAGAATATTAAAGAGGGAAAACATCAAAAGCATAATCTGTAGGTTATAACCTCCAAAAGCATTCAATTACCCCCCAGCATTTCATAGATTAGAACACTACAATCTAATTCAATACCTTCCCATTTGCCTTAAACCGTTTTCCTGAATGAAAAGAGATCCTTGTCATAATTATCAATAAGCCCTTTTCATTTGTTGCAGTCTCGTATTGTTTCAGATCAGAGAGATGTCTTTGCTGTGGATTGGGATCCGCCACTTTTAGAGATATTTGAACCGTAACTTTCATAGGTAAAAAGACAAAAGATGAGACATAGTCCTTAAGCGCCCCTTATTTCGTGCATGCAGGCCCCCCATCAATTTAATTCTCTTTCGCGCTCTGAAATTCACTGTGCCAAATTCTCTAGAACTTCAAAAGATCCCAATCTCTATTTTCTGTGACCACTGTCATTTGCACCCTAGTGAAAGCTTTTATTAACTTCATCATTCCTATTATTTTTGTGTCCCAGAGTACCTAATCTGAAGATTATCATTATCCGCTGACGGATTTATATGATGATATTCATGCACAAGCTATCTGTGCCTAACTCTCTGTTGATAACATTTTTATACACCTGCAGGCTATTTTCTCTGACGATTCAGATGATGAAGGCGAAGAATCTAATGTCATCAAGGAGCATAACCAAGAGAAAAAAGCTGAAGTTGCTAATACAGCATTAAGCCGTTTGATTGCTGGTGACTTCCTGGAATCTTTGGGTAAAGAACTGGGGCTTGAGGTTCCTCCTGACATGCCTTATCCTGCACCAAAATTCAGAAATCCTGCCCCTCAGAATGAAACTGCTAAGGAAAATGCAAGAAATGACATCCCAAATAGAACTAACGGGGAAGTCTCCTTAAACCAACGTTTGATGCATGCCCAGGACGATACTGCTGGCATATCAGAAAGTGACCTCATTTATGGAAATGTTCTTGGAAGTGGCAGCAGTAAAGCCAAGGGAACTAGTACTGCTGACGGCATGTCAAGTAAGTTCGATAGGGAGATGGATGATGACAGAAAAGTCAAAACACCTCGAACTCCCCGCCACGATTATGGTAGCGGTTCGTCATCTGAAGAGGAAAGGAGCAGAAAACGCACCAGGCATGAGAGTGGTAGCATCAAAACCAAGGGAGCGGGTATCGCTGACAGCAAGTCAAATAAGTTCATCGGGGAGAAAGATGGTGGAAGGAAAATTAAAACAGCTTCAACCCGACATCAAGATTATAGCAGTTTATCATCTGGAGAGGAAAGGGACAGAAAACATGCCAAGCATCATCGACATAGGAGGCGTGATTCAGGAAGTGATTCGTCTGGTGATGATAATGGAGATCCTTATTGTTCAAGGTCCAATGGGAGAAACAAAGGGTCTTCTCGAGAAAAGAGTAGAAGTAGAAAGCACTCAAAACACCACGACCGTCGAAGACGAGACTCTCCAAGTAGATCTTCTCGTCACAGAAAGGAGAAGGACCATGCAGATGCCAAAAGAGAGAAGAAGCGGAGGGAGTGAAGGAGAGGCAAGTCCTTTATTTTGAAATAAAATCTTAATATACGTTATTCACTAGTTCGTACAGCTCATTTCTCAAATTCTATACAAAGATCAGGATTCAAGCTAGCTTGTTGTAATTCAAGTAGAGGATTGTTTTAATTATGTTTCAGATTGCCACTGCTTAGCGTGTCTGCTTTGTTTTGACACGTATACTGAAGAAAGTAGAGGATTATTTCTATTTTCGATGGTGTTAGATTCCCCCCCCCCCCCTAGAAGTAGGGAAAATCCCAAAACCCGTCTACAACCTACTAGAACCATGAAGATCCATGCAATCTAGCTCATGTTTTACATTAATATCAGGGGCTACACGCGAACATTGCAATCATCCCATTCTTTCATTTCTCCTTCCCTTTGCTGATGACATGCGCATCCTTCTCTTTGCTGATGCATCAGCGCAATGATTGCATTGATTGTGTTATTAGATTTTGTGAGGAAGAATAAGGTTCTAAAAGATTAAATTAATGACAGTTTAAATTTTTGACAAGATTTTTTAAAAAAAAAAAAAGAGGTGCAAATATTGATTTAGATAATTATAATTTCAGAAATTTCAATTATAAATAAAGTATTTAAATTTTAAATGTATTTCTCATATTTTAATTCAGATTTCTTTTGTAACTCTGATTGGTGTTTATAATTTATTTTTAAAATTTTTTTTTATTTTTTAACTTAACCATCATTGAATCAATTCTTTGAAACTCAAATGTCATTTTTCCCACCTTGCGATGCTCTGGTGCTGTTAACCGCTTTCCTGCTTGCTTAAAGCTGAATGCACGGCCGCCTCATGAAATAGACCGATCTCCACTGTTCTCTCCTTCCCCATGTCCTCCCACGTCCCATGTGAGGAAGTAGACTTGTTCAGTTGCCTTGTTCCTCAGGTCTAACTTTTGAAGAGAGCATTGTTTATAGGATAAATGAATAAATTGTCTTCTAAACTTTAGGTCTTGTAGTATTATAAATCTTAAATTCATTTATTATGCAAATTGTTCCATCAATTTTTAATATGTCCGGTAGCATCATAAATCCTGAACTTGTTTATTGTGTAATTTATTTCTTTAACTTTTAAAACAGTGCAATATAATTCCTACTGTTTAGAAGTTAACTTTAACTATTAGTTAATCAGAAAATGACTTTAAAAATTATAAAAAAGGACTAAATTTTCTTGTTTTTTTTTGTTGTTGTTGTCCATAATTTTTTGATCTTTTATTGTATTTTTAAGTTATTTTCTATAATTTTGATGTTTTTTTTATCATTTTCTAGTTAACTAACAATTAAATTTAATTTTTTATTAGTGGCAGAAGTTAGATTATACCATTTTAAAAGTTGAGGGAATAATTTACATAATAAATAAGGTTAAAGTCTATGGTATTACTTAATCTAAATTTTAAAGGATGCCAATTTATTCATGTTTATAGCATAGTATGTATTTCTTTTGTTAAAAAATATAAGGTATTTTTAATTAAATTTTATCTCCAAATAAAGTAGTTACTTGTCTTTAAACCAACACTATTTTTTTCATATATATCCTCATTTAATAGAGTGTTTTACTCTAAAATAAATATAAAGTGATTTATTCATTAGAAGCACTTTTGAAAAAAAAAAAGCAATAATTATACCTTAAAATACTAAAAATATCTTATATTTTTTAATATCTAATTTCTCAAAAAATATCTTATAAAATTTATATACTCAACCTTATTTATATAAGGTGCGTGTTTCCAATTAAATAAAAACATGTGTGTCTAAATATTTTATTTATTCTACAATAAATTTTTATTGTTAATATTATTAACAAAACAAAATGCACATATTTTGATTTAATTAGATAAAATTATATTAAGTATATAAGCATACAATGCAAGAAATATTATATAAATATAAATTATATTCTATAATATGCTAATATTGGATTCTGGACAGTATCTATTTGGTGTGGTTATTGGCTTGTTACCAGTAGCCAATTATCATGCTCTTAGGCACCTGAGTTTACATTTTAATTCGTAAATTAATTACTCTCCTAAAGCCTTTGGCGTCATCTGTGACGATATTCTCTTCCCCTTTTCCATCCCTTCTTCCTTATTTTATGTGACGAAAATTAAATATGGAAACGAAAAGCAAATGTTTAAGAATTTTTTTTTTTGGGTTTTGTTTGCATATATAAAATAAGGAGGTGTTCGACAAAAACAAAGAGAGTGCCGCAAGACGTGACAATTTAGGTGCAGGGAGGGGGAAAGGGTTGAAAAAAGAAATATGATCTCCGCGTTGTTCGTGTTTTATTTATTGGAGTATCAGTCAATCGAACGATGACAGAAAAGAACAAAAGAAACTTCATGAGTTTTTTTTTTTTTAATGATAATGTTACCATTCAGTATTAAGTATCTGGGATATGAGTGTCAAGTCCTCCCTCAACTAGTGACTGTTACATTGCAGTCATAGAATTTAATTAACATTTGAAAATTTATGCTCATCAAAGACAGTTATATGAAAATGCATTTTAATTATTTCTCTACAATCATTTAAATCATTGAATTAAAGTGTATTAGTATTGGGCAATATTTTAAAAATCAAACCAGATATTAAACCAAAAAAGACAATGGGACTCGATTTTTATGTCTCATCGATTAGACCAACAGTCCAACTGATAACATAATAATTAAAAAAATTAAATTGAAAATAATATTACACATATTATGTATATATATGAGAAATAAATCCAATGTCTATTTGTTAGTAAATTAACATAACGTGAATATAAATTAATAGTATTATAAATTATAATTTTATAATTTATTAAGTATAAATAGATCATGGTTAAGTGAGGTAAGAGCAAATTCAAAAGTATTTATATTTGCATTTATAATTTTCAACATCTTCTAAAAAAGGGTCACAAATCATATTGTGCAAGTGTCATGAGTTTAGAAATAAAGTTGGCTTTCAATAGTATCTAATTTTTATTTTTTTAAAGTAGTCTTTTTTATTTTATATTTAGAACCATCTAGTTTTTTTTTTTTTGAAAACGATTCCTATTCAATTTCAATTTTCATCTCAATGGTAATCCAACCCAATTCAACTAAAAAAAAAGGACTTTTTGATCTAAACCATTGTTAGTGGCTCCGGTTGATGATCCAACTAATCTAACTGTCCGATCTAATTCTCAAAACAATGGTACAGGGTACAATAAGAGGTAAAAATATGATCCGACGTTCTATTTACATTTCATGCGGCGCGTGCGCGCACACACATATATAATGGTTGTTTGATTAAATTAAACATTGTCTATAATATCACGTAAGACACTCATTAAGTAGGAAAATTTAAGACACCTGCCTAGTCCAATCCCCACAATAAGCATGAGAAGTTAAGAAATATCTCATCCATATTAAAAACAATACCAAATTATTTTTAAAGCATATTTGGATCCCATACCCATAGCAACTACAAGCATTGGGTGCCTATACCAAAATGGCAAAATCCATGCTGTCCGCTAAATTAAAGGTTTGGAAAACCTTGCTACAAATTAGAAAACATTGAATCCAAATCTCATAAATAGAGACATGTAGTGTACGTTTGTCCCATTTCTCGCTAAAAATTGAAAACTTTTTAAAATTTATATTTTTGTTTTGAAAAATAAAATTATTAAGTGTATTTAATGAGATTTATTAATATAAAAATTTTATTTAAAAGTATCTTATAATTTAAAATAAAGGAAGTATAATTTTTATATTATAATATTTGTGTTTATATTATATATTATTTATGAATGAATTTATATTATTGTATTATTTTTCCTTCATACGTTGCCCAATGTCATGGGAAATGAAGGAAGATTTTATACCAATTATGGGTAAAGATTTTGTCAATGTAGAAGAAGCATGGAAATTTTAAACTATTTAATAAAGTTTAGAATTTTAGGTTAGAAATATGATACACATTTATCACGTGATGCTCTCTAAAAAATTTAGATGAATTTGGATTCAATATTTTCTAATTTTTGTCACAACAAAATCCTCCAAACTCTTAATTTAATGAATATTATAAATTTTGTCATATGACAGGTTCAAATTATTTTTAAATAAAATAAATAAGTCATTTAGATTGATAGTGATGTTTTATTTTAAATGAAATGTCTAAATTATTTTTAAAAAGTATAAAAAAATAAAAAAATAATATTATATAATTTATTTACTTTTTGAGAGTTATGTTTGTAATTTCATATATTTTATTTTTTATATTTTTATTATATTAGTATTAATAAAGTTAATAAAAAAATTTATAAATAAGATTAAAAAGAACACTTACCTTGCTTACTTGACTATTTGGATGTACATATGCCAAACAACCATCATTGGATGCCCCATGAAAGTGCAGATCATAAGTAGGAACCATGTACGGAGACTGGCTTGAAGGACATCAATTAAGAGGCACATGCAAGCTTCGTATTTATTTCTTGAATTATACTATCCCTGTTGCAGTACAAGGGTTAAAATACATTAATTTCATAGGAAAATATAATTATTGGTTGTTATAGTTTTATTAGATTTTATTTTTAGTTTTTATAGTTTTTTTCAATCTCTATTATAACAAATAAATATCATTCAATCTTGTTGAAATTATATATGAAGATTAAAAATATTAAAAAATAATTATAAAAATTAAAAATAAAATTTAATAAAATTGTGAAAATTAATGATTGTATCGTCAACTTATTTCGTGAGAAACTCAAGTTCACTTTAGTATTTTACCACTCTATAAGACGAGTCTCACTCTCACATATAATATGATCACCTCTTTAATTAACTGAAAATACTAAATATCTATTCTCAAAACGGATAAACATATTTCGAGTATCATTGATGACTTACTGTTTGTAACTCAAACATTTTGGTAATTACCATTTTAGTTACCGTATAAAACACGTGACTCGGTTTAGATCCAATATTTTATTATTTTACATGCCTCCTGCACTTTTGTGTATCCTCTTCACATTATTATCTCACAGACAACAATTATCAAAATCCAAAATTATAAAAAAAAAATAAACGAGAGATTCTCTGATTACAACGCCTTTTTTTTTGCAAATGGACAATATTTGTTTGGGTGTGCCGGGGCCGGACGCCTAATTAACCTTGTCATATTGAAAATGACGACCAATTCCCTGTGTATAACAACAACTGGACTCTCACAA